ATGTTTTCTAAGTAATTTGTTTAATATAAATCTAAGTAAGAAAATATTTTTTGCTAAGTAGTTTATTTAAATTCTCAGTAAAAAAAGTCATGTTTTCTAGACAAAAAAATTAGGAATTCATAAGTAGATATATAACTTTTACTAAGTAAAAAAACAGAAATATCTAAGTAAAAAATTCAGTTTGAACAGTTAATCGATTAACAAAGCTTGTGTTGCTTTTTGTGGCCGTCCTCGCTTTCTTTTTTCACCCAAAGGTACATCCTTCGCTAATCTCATATCAAACAGTTCCTGGATATTTTGTTTAATTTCTTCAGAGAAGAAATAACGTTTACTTGAATAAGTATGTTATGCTCATTATTTGCACGAAATAATATAACTTCATCACTATTGTGCGGATAAAAGAGATAAATTACGGCATTACATTGTGTGCCACAAAATTTAACATTATTACAGCGGTATTGAACTTTAACTCCATCTTGAACTTTGTTAGTAAAATATCGACTCCATTGTTCTTCTCGTTTAATTGCTATTTGAGCGGCTTGTATTCATTAGAAAAGCATTTTTCTCTTATCCAGTCAAAGTTACGTTTAATTTTTTGTCTTTTCTGGAACATTCTGCTGATCCATCGTATCGTCGGATTCCGATGAACTCTCATACTGTTGTGTTTGTACAAAATTTGGCATTGTAATATGTTTAAACTAAACTTCAATCGCCATATATATATAGGCGATTAAAGAAGAAGAATTTTCTGGAAAATATTGGAGATCATATGTGATCGTCACAGGAAGAAAGAGAAAAATATACTTGAACATACTAGAAGTTGATGTTTACATCAAATCAGTCCTAACAGAACGAAAGAGAGAAAATGTACGATCTACACCCAGGCTGACAATCGTTTTCTTGTCATAGTCACTTTTACTTAGCAATATTTTTTTTTATCCATATAAGTTTTTTTCTAACTTATCAATCTCATTCATCAACTGAGTAATTAAATATTTTATTTAGATATTAATTATTTAACTTAGCAAAAATTTAGGCATTATCGTTTATTTTCACCATTATTTGGAATAATGCATTAATTCATTTTTTCATTATTCATTCATTATCGGCTACATGGGTAATTCTAGTCGAAGAAACGATGCCATTATTTACGTCGTCGCGCACGAGAGAAAAGAAGACACAATATCACGGAAAAAAAAGTTCCATACGGAACTTAAAAAAGGTTCCGAGATTTGCAACGAAATCTAAGGCTTCTTTCGGTTTCGTATAAATATGGTTCCGTACGGAACCGTTCCCAGTTAGTATTCAAAATGGTTTCGTAGCTCAAATAGCCTCTCCATTCGAATGCAATGTCTCTGCGTTTGCACCAATACTACCATTCACGCTTCCATTACAATTCCAACAACTATCCCTTTGTTAACAAGTTCATTCCTTAATTTGTATCTTAACTTTTAAATGTATACCCTATGTTAACCTCTTACTCTACATCTAGCCCTTAATCTATATCCGTATTCTATATCTAACCCTTAACCTATATCTAAATGGTTCACCGTTTAGATTTTTGTTTTACAATAATCAAGAGCAGTGTGTGAATATGGATCATCGTCAGCTGATAAAAAAAAGACCGATTCACATCCTAAACAATCAGCAAAGTATGTTCATCTCTTCAAACTCATAATTGTTTTTTTTTCTCTGTTCGGATTGACCTAAAACGAGAAAAATTCTAATTTTATCATTCTACTTACCAATGACATATTTTGTTGTGATAACTGTAAATAGACACTATATGCCCATGGGATAAAAAATTAAGATATATTCACTGCAAAACGCGTTATAATGCTGGCCGATTTAACGATAGCTGATAATTGTTTCATGAAAGAACGCTCATTTTCCGGCCGATGTCCTTATGACATAACTTACTCTATAGGTTTATTGTTTTTCAAGGCAAATGCAATGTAAAAATCGTGAAGAAAACGATAACGAATAAATATATAAGTAAAAGAGTATCTAAAAAACAGCGGAAAATGTGCAAAATAGTTTTTGAAGCATTTTCTACTAGAAATGTCTCAGCTATAAAAGAAAACTTCAAGCTGGAAACGTTTGTATTGGTTAGTATACATTTATATAAGAAAATATATCATTAAAGGGTTCATCTTAAATTTATCCAGAAGATTATGTTAGTCACATAAAATACAATACAGTCGTTTCACTATTAACAACTTCTACATATTTGAACTTTTATGTAATTAGGTACAAATTCTAGCACGATTATATTGCGTTTGATTAAACGTGGACAGTTTTGCATATATATTTGATTTAATATTATTATTAAATAAAAGCATTATTGGATATATATATATATATAATGTCTACATTTTTTAAGTTTTCTTTTGTGCTGCGAAGATTTAGTATACGATAAAAAGTAAAAAACAAATAATGTAAAAAGATGGAGAATAACAATAAGATGAACAATGTTTGTAATAATGCTACAATATATACGTAAAGCGTTCTACCAACTTTGTAGATAAGCAACGTGGTTCTTTGCTTGTTCTATTTATATTCGAAATATAGTGCCGTTAATAAATTATAAGTACGTCGACTATTTGCTTTTGTTTGATGTACTTAATATTGGAAACAGTGAAATTGATGTAGAATAAGATGAGGAGCGGAAAAATAAGTGATTGGTTTTAACTTCACTCGGCAACAAAAGAAGTAATGAGAGAAAGCGTCCCTCTACAACTTATGTTAACCAAAAAGGATATAAGAGTATTTTACAAAATCTTGTTGAATTCCAAACCTTAAAAGGGTTTATTACGACACCTTGTTGAATCCGAAACCTTGAAAAGATTTTTCACGAAACCTCTGATAGAACTGAACTACTATAATGTTTCGTGTTTTCGATCGCAACCTTTTGAAGTATAGTAAAGCACCACGAAACCTTTTAAGTTCCGCATGGAACCTTTTTTTCAGTGTAGAGAGATATGGAGAGAGAGGAAAGAAAGAATGAAAAAGAACGGTCAAGAAGAACTCTCACTAGCACTATTCCATATCCTTGCGCTAACGAATTATCGCGTGATTAATCGTTGCATTTATTTAACGCGTTTTCACATGCTAATTTTAGAAATTTAACGCGCGTTTACGGTCAAAAAGGTAACATATTTAATCGTTAAGGCATTAAATTTTTAATGATTTTTCACGTAAGGATGCTTCGTTAAATCAATTCAAATTTTTACATGGGATGTGTGCTGGTAGCATGAACATAAATGCTCGTGAGTATTTTTTGAACAGCGTTTAATAGCAACAAGTTAAAGAACTACGGTTTTCACTATTAGTAAGAGAAGATGAAGAAGCATCGCACCATATATTACTGATTTTTCTAACCTGCTTCTTGTAAGGTTTTTAGTTGCCCTTTTGAAGAACAAACCTATCTCGTGAGTTGTTTACAGTGAATTTCCAATAATCAGGGGCTCATTCAAACCACTAATCGAAGATCTACAAGCTGCGAAAGACTCAGGTTTTTAATTTAATTATTTGGGGATAATACGTATTCTAGACGAGCCTCTACTACGGTTTTCTATCAACTTTTTTGTTTAACTTTTTTAATGAAAAAAGGATTTTTCCAAAGGTTAGAAAATTGAATAAAAACACTGCAAAAATCCTATTTAAAAAATCAGTGATCTACAGTTCGATGCGTCTTCATTCCCTCGTTTCAATGGTGAAAACCGTAGTTCTGTAACTTGTTGCTATTAAACGTCATTCAAAAAATACTCACGAGCATTTATGTTCATGCTACCAGCACATATGCGAAAGAAACAGATCTTATCAAAATTTTACTATTATTATATTAGTTGAATAGTGATTAAATAGCATAGAAACATAGAGTGAAACACACTCTATCTATTGGTAAAAAAAGAAACTTTTCGACCTTTTGCTTGAGGAAATAAGGTGCCTCCCTCACTACTTTTGGATTGCTCTAAGTATTTCACGGTGGTGGCGACTCACTTAGATGTATTAGTAAAAATCTTAGATATATGAGAGAAAACGTGCCAGTGGCACCGTACTTCTAGCTATTTAAAACATGTGTAAGTGCAAATCCGTCGATATATTTCTTCCTCGATATCTTCTAATATCTATTTCGTGTTGACATACGTATTTGAAGTAGTAAAGTTATCTATCTTGCTACAGAATCAAACATGTTTGAAAAGCAACACATGAAACTACAACTACTCGAATATGTTCCGAATTCGGTAGCTATATTGATGTGTTCAAAATTCAAAATCGTCGTTATTTTGCAGTTGCAGAACTTCTGTTATATTGAATTGTGCTTTTTAAAACCTCTCGGTTGCTTTTTTTGGAGTAAATACGAATAAGTATTTTCATATGAAGCAATTGAGATGCATCAACACCCAAGTAATCTCTGTAAGAGCATTCCCATGTAAAACAAAATCGTAAAAAATCTGATTATTAATCCAATTCTTTTTACTTGGGTTCTATACACAGCCATTTTGTTCTAGACACAACGAAGTGCTCGAGTGATATAAATGAAAATGGTATTTTTAGTTCTAGGCTAACAACAGTTCAAGGACCGGAAGGGAATAATTTTGCCTTTGGATAAAATATGGCAGGTTTCATGACATTTTAAAATAATTATAATCTCAGAAAGAAATGTACTATAATAGAACTGCAAATGCATAAGTCAGATAAGGAGTCATCTGAGCATATGTTAATATGATTCAGTCTAGAGTGAATTCATAAAAAAAAGCATTCCACTCCAATAGACTAGTTTCAAAATGAGATGTTATCCGAACGTGGCTTCTAGCTAAAGAAGTACTCTGTTTTCTCTTAGGAAAAAGAAAAGAATTACCGGTATAGACGAGTTTAATGAAATAGGTAACGGCACATTAGGAAGTTGTCAAATAATCTTGAAAAAGCATCTTAGACTTTCGTTTTGACTTTATATGGTTGTTTTATTTATTCTAGCATCTTAGTCATAATATAGAATGCCTAAGAATACTACAGGAATCTACGACAGTAATGGAGTTTACGCTTTGGATTCACCTCTCTCGAAACGGATTAAATTTTGGCTTATTATCATCTGTGAAACGTCATCGATTCCTTGTTATTTGTTTGTAATTTATCAATATCTGTACCAAAAAGAACTTAGAAAAGCCATTCAGAATCATGCCCTTATGGTCAAACTATGTATCAATTTTGTTATCTTGACGATTGATTTATCAATGCACTTGAGTTTTCTTCGATTGGGCTACGTTCTACCATCTACTCCAGGTGCTTGTCTTCTCTGGCAGCTGGTCGACTATGGGTTTTGGTTTGGAGATATTTTTCTAACATGTTGGATGTCAATAGAACGATATATTCTAATTTTCTACAGTCATTGGGTCAACACACCGTACCGTTGTATATTCATTCATTATATTCCATTGATATTTTTCTCTCTTTACTGTCCAGTCGTTTACATTTATTTAATCTTTTTCTATCCCGTAGCACATGCGTATGACTATTCATTTCTTCTATGTGGTGGCCCTTATTTTTACCTCGATATAGCACCCTGGTTAATATGGTATGAATCACTCGTTCATTATGTCATTCCCATATTTGTCATTGTGATACTGAGTGGTGCCATGATCATTCGTGTTTTAATACAGAAGTATCGTTTACGTCAAATAGGTCGATGGAACAAATATCGCAAGATGCTTATTCAATTTATTTGCATATCAGCGGTCTACATATTTGATCTTCCTTATATTATTGTTACTATTGTACGTTGGTCAGGATTAACAGATTTCGGAACGGATGTACAAGGACCTTACTTTTACTATGTGGACTATATTCCAACAATTTTACTCTCGTTTACACTACTTGGTACTATTCCACACGTGAAGACTAGCTTTATTGCTTTGATTTACCGTAAAAAACAGAACATGAGGGCTTCTGTTGCACCGCACATGAATTGTCGTGTTTAGGGGTGTCAATTTAGTTTATTTAATTTAATTTAATTTTAAATTAAATTATTTTAAAGTTAAATTTAAAATTTAATAAATTCTTTGGATGTATACTCATCATTGCTATGAGGAAAATACGTGACTTTAACAGTATTAAATACTAAATAAGAGGAGAACCTAGTAGTTTAGGTTAATATTTGTTCATAATAGTCAAAAATTGTCTACATATTATGCAGGATCCGTCATCTTTCTTCTTTAAAATACCGGGATACTCATAAAAATATATTTAATAGCGCAATTCATAGAAGAATGACTAGCTTTAACTTTAGAAAACAGGAAACATACTCAAATTTGACTTTCAATAATAGTAATCAAGTCAAAAACCATGTTTATCTACTAGTTTTGAAAATTTAACTAATTTGAGTTTCAAACAATTTCATTTAAATTTAGTTAGATTTAAAATTTCTTGAATTAAAATTTATTTCTCGATTTAATAATTTTTTTTAAATTAAAATGTGACATCCTTAGTCGCGTTCAAGACTAATCCAGTGTCGACATAATTACGTCTCGAAAAATTGATGTAAACTTGATTGAATAAATTACGCTGTATTCTACTTCTTTGCAGAATATTGTCTTCTTTATTTTGTTTGTATTCACGCGGCTATGCTATCTATTAAATATTCTCTATTTAATTATCATACAAAAAAAAACAATTTAATGAGATATCAAACGGATTGTACAAAAATGATATTCGATTGTGAGATGAAAAATTCAGTGTTTTTATTAAAAATATAATTTGACAAGCTGCCGATCATACGATCCTAATCAAATTTAACTCGCATAATTGCATCTGGTATGTCTCAGCCTATAGATATAGTGAAAAAGAAAAACTTCATTTTTCGCTGAATAAATCTTTCCTGAATGGTCACTATATATATATATATAACTCTTGCTCTACTCCTAACTTAGATAAGAAATTCAAGCAAACACTCCAGCTAACAGGAATGACTAGTGTTTATTTAAGATTCTTTTTGTGTCAATTGAATGACATCATAGTCATATCGGTGTTGTAATTACTGTTTTCGCTAGATGAATAAACGAGAATATTCTATTTAAAAGATGACACAAACCATCTGTGTCTATCAATAGAACTAAAAGAGAACGAATGGATCCTTGTGGTAAGTATGAGATCAAGTTTTTGTTGAACAATATTTCACTAAGAAAATTGGCATGATTCTTTTTTATATTTAGTACTAAGAAATATTTTCCCATCACATCGTCCATCGCAATTAACATTATCTCAATTAAAACAATTATCAAATCAATTTAATTTATCAGCTGAGGAAATTCAAAGGTGGTACCAACGTTTCATTCTTTGTTATCCATATGGTTATGTTTCAATTCAAGAATTTTTGGCTTATTTAAAACAGTTAAACATCGATAGAGAAAATCAACAATATCAATTGCCAAAATCATTGATTAAACAACTGTTCTATACTTTAGATTTGAATAAAGATCGAAAATTGAATTTTGAAGAATTCTTTCAGTTCAATTTCTTGATCAATCAAGGAACAGATCAAGACAAGCTTAAATTTATATTAACCATACATGATCGACATAGTATTTATTATACGCGACAAGAAATTGTAGATATTTTAAAAACGTTATTTGATTTATTGAATATTTCTAAACAAACAAATGAATTATCAGAACGAATTAATATGATTTTGACATCCTCTAAGATGAACCATAACACGACCAAAATTTGTTGGAACACATTTTGTACATATGTTCTTAATCAGTCATCGTCATTTCAAATCTTATTATCAAATCAGTTGGACACTGAAAATGTTGATAAGTTTAAATTTTTGTTTTAAGTTTTTAATTTGTGTATAATAAATAGTATATTTTATCTCGAAAGCAATTGAGAATAAATTGACAAGAAAAAGTGCTCCATTTCAGCTAGTCTTAGACAAGAAAATGTGTTGTTTACTGTGAAAATTTCGGATAATGGTCCTTGTGTCTTATTAATTTTTTCCATTCACAGAAGAAATTATTTTATCTTATCATGTGCAAAATAGTTTTCTTCTCCATTTATGTTCGCTGTCAGCAGTGTCACTTCACCTTTGGATATTTACTCGGAGAATACTTAATAGTTTTGCTATTTTGATACTGCTACTCAATGATTTATTTTTCAACATCAGAACGTAGATCCATTCTGCTGAAATAAATGATATTTAAAATCGAATGAGAAATTATTTAATTCGTATATCTCTTTCAGTCATACAATATACTATAGACCACAGGGGGAAAGCTGTGAGTGTGTGTAGATATTTCTTGATCATCCTTCTACTAACACTATCATCTACACATTAAATGTCATCTTATTGTAAACATTCATACACAACTCATCACAAATAAGGTTGTCAGAAATTCACTGGTTACTGTAAATTGTTAAAAGGACTGCATGGTACTTTCCATTACCCCATAAAAAGAATGAAAGAAAATATCCTAGGTAAGTTGTCAATATTTATTTTGTTATCTTTATCTCTCGACCACACTACAGTTTCTTTCATAAGTCTTGTGTAAATGTGAAACATACTGCATTTGAATAACCGTATTCTGCAACGCAATGTCGGCAATTATTTATGCACTCACGAATCCAATTTTCAAAAATTTTGTTTTTTATGCAGCAGCATCAACTGTTAAGATGATGGCCATGTCGCTTCTTACTAGTCGAAAAAGATTTGCGAAAAATGTAAATTTGAGTTTCTTGCGTAGTTGTCCTCTGTTGCTTCAATGATTGTGTTTTAGGTATTCTCGAATCCTGAAGATATCCCGTTGGGAAACAAAAACCAGGCGAAGGTAACATTTACAGATCCCGATGTTGAACGGGTTCGTCGAAATCATTTAAATGATATCGAAAATATTCTACCATTCGTTGTGATCGGAATGTTCTACGTCGCTACGAATCCAAATGCAATGTTAGCTTTATGGCATTTTCGTATTTTTTTCTTCTCTCGTATATTTCATACAATAGCATATCAAGTAGGAGAATTTTCATTGTTTGATGCACAGATTACTGTTTGTTTTTATTGAAGCTGCCACTGCCACAACCATCACGAGCTATTGGCTATACAATTGGTTATCTAACGACCATCTCGATGGCCGTTCAATTGTTTCGGGCTCTTCTTAAATAAATCACGAGCCAGCAAGACAAAGAGGACATTTTTATAATTATTATTTGAAGAACCTAAATATAAAGATGTGGGTTTCAATAAATGAGATTCATACCTAGATGAATCATAATTAAAATCTAGTAATGAACTATTTAATTCATAGTCTCAAAAAAGTTAAAATATTGCAAGTTATGTTATAATTAAAGCGTATTGCATTGAATTTTATTCATAATCTAATGATATAGTTAAGAATGATTTGCACGTTGAATAAAATCTCTTAACTTTTGTCTAAAATCAGAATTACTTGGGCAATAATGCCCTCCATTGTGCTTATAAAATTCAGCTAATGATGAATTAAAATATTTGAAAAGAGATTCACTCATTTCTGTTGATATTAAAGTATCATTGATGCCTGAAATATGCAAAGATGGTACCGATTGATTTTGTGTATTCAGTGTTTCTAATATTGGTTTAATGTTATGATCATTAATTGGTGGACAGCCAATTAGAATAATAAACTTAATACAACTAGGAAGAAGTGGCCAATTAGGAATATTTAAATGCATTGCCGTACAAACAATTGCACCTTGAGAAAATCCTAATAAACCATGAAATGGCCCATTGTGATCAATATAATTCACTATATATTCAATACTTTCTTGAATTGTATCATAATTATAGTTTGCAACTGACCATTCAGGATTATAAGACCACCACTGATATCGTTGTTCATTTGAAGTATTATCGGACGATTTCAGGAACCCATAGTCAACAAATGGAAATGGTGAATTAATAAAAATAAATTCAATATCTTTCATGGAACGAATTAAAGAACGCATTTGGTTTTGACGATTTTCTGCGCTATCATAAAAGCCATGCAGAACTAAGATGCGAGTTTTAGGTTGATCAACTTTTGTTGCCATGCTTTTTTGAAATGAGTAATAATGAATTTTATAATTTTATATTTTATTGCTGTAATTTATCAGTTTACTGATTCGTTGGATTTTTTGATCCAGTAAGAATATCTATTCAGTATATGTCGCTTTTTGACATTGATTTCGTTCAAAAACACGGCCCTAGTCAACTTAGTTATCATAGGTTTAGTAGAGTGTAAAAGCGAGCTACTGTGAAAAACGATAGATTTCTACTAATCAATTTCGAAATCATTCAAACAGTTTTACCGTTTTATTTTCGTAGTTTGTTACTCATTGGAACATAATGTTTGATACCTTCTTTAGTATGTAACGTATGGTAATTATTGTTTTTATCCCCAGTGCTACGGACAGAATTATCTCTAATGTTCTTCATCAATCTTTATGTTATATTTCCGTAAAGAGACACTGTAGTTTCCTGGTAAATTAACGTATTCGTCTAACCAAACTCGATTTTTAAAAAGTAGTGAAAATCGAGAAAGTTTGAATATGTTTAGAAAGATATATTTGTTCTATATAGTTGAAAAAACACTCAGGTACTCTCTTAGATCATAGAGTTAATCGTGCACCAAAAATGCAAGTTGAAATTCGATTCATTGCTTATTCTATGAATGGGTGCTAAGAAGAAATGCAGTGATAAGTTAATGATGGCTAAGTGAAGCAATAGAGATCCGAATTCCTTTAAGATTGTTTGCTCAGATACTATATTGTATCTGTGGTAAAACATCCTCAAAATTAGCAACATGGTGATAGGCAACTAATTTACGTAAGTGTAAAATAAATCAATAATTAAGAGACGACTAGATTGAACTTAACTTCTCTCCGTACAATAATTTTTCTACTACTAGGAAATATATTAATTAGCACCCATAAAATTCTATAATGTAAAAATATGAATGATATTTTTTCAAGCTTAAATCTTATTACTCGCAAGCAATACCTGAGTGACAATGAAGTATCAGTATGGGATCATGACCATCAATTATTATGGAAGGCGAAGAAAATACAAAGAAAATGGGTTTGATAAAATAGTGATTGTATTGCTATTTCGACTGTGCGCGAAAAAGTACGATGGATAAAAATAACTTTTGAAAATCAGCAAAAAACATTTCTACAAAGCGATATTTTTCTACTTGGGATTTTACCTTTTTTAAATAATAAAGATAAAAATGAAGTAGACAAGACGGATGCTGTTGGGACCTCTGTAATGAGTTGTACAGTAAATTAAACAAGTCGGCCCTTATCTATATTGATTTCAACTCAGATTTTTCGTATTGTTAATTCGCTATGATAAATAACGAAAGTGGATGTAATCTTTTTTTTATTGATTGGCTGATGTCATTTAGAATTAAATTGCACATTTAGGACTAATAATAGAACTTTTGTTGTAGAGCAATGTTTTTTGCCTATTACTGTAACAGAGATGGTTTTCAAGGTTATTTTCTAACGCAGAACATGTAAAATGAGTTTGATGGTTGCAAAGAAACAGGAACGAACTGAAAATAAATGAATCAAACTTTTCTCTTTCTATGCATAAGAAATACATAATTTCGTTACCTATTGACGTCTGTTTTTTTAAACAGAAGCCAGTGGTCTGAAAATAAAGCTTATTTTTCATTAGCAAACTAATATTTGCTAGCCATAAATTTGCATCAAGTGAGTATTTATATTAAAAATAAATTATTCGAGCTGTGATGCTGAGAATTCCTAATTTTTCTAAATTCTAAAATGGGAAAACGAATCATATTCGAGTAGTGAATAAATTATTAGGATTTACAAAACTTATCCGTTGAGACTGAACATTGATTTATCTTGCGTTTTAAACGCCCATTGAAATATAAAAATCATCTCGGATAAATGAAAAATATTATGGAGAATTCATAAAAAAATGACCGAACTACTTACAATATCTATGTAAAATAGTCTCCGCAAAATTGTAACATCGACAGTTTTACGTCATCTGAATACTAAAAATCTGTAACAATCGAATTAATATAAATAAATTTCTCGTTCGAATATAGCCTGCATCAGTATTCATAGTAAATATTTCGACTATGTGAAATTGAAGATATTTCCCATTAGAATCTATTCTGATTTTAGCCATTGCACAAATCAGTTTTTGTCGAAATTTATTATTCATTATTCAGACCATACAAAAATAAAAACAAAGACATGATTTCAATAATTATCCTGTTTTTTACCGTATTAATTTTTGGTGAGCATCGTTGTTTTTGCAAAATATTTAATGCAATTTCTATAATAGAAATTCAACCTCATCATGCTCTACGATGCTATTCATGTCGTGGAAAAAAACAATGTGGTGTATTATTCTCAAAGAACGATACTATTAGAATTATTGAAGGAAGCGATCTCTATGACTCTTGTTCGGTTAGTTCGAAATTATAAGCAGAAAATATCAATATATAGCTATAGACACAGATATGTTTCATGATTGTTTATTTTTTATACCATATAGATAATCGTAGACGCAAATGGTATAACCATTCGGGACATGGTGCAATCACAAAATTGTCGAAGTTCCTCCAATCAATTCTGTTGTAATCATGACCTTTGCAATTCGCTTCCATCACCACCATTACCGGCATTCACTGCACTCACTTGCGCTATGAGTAACTGTAAATCAAATCGTAATCAATGTAACAATTCGCATGATTATGTCGTCTATAGAAGCAGTGCTACTGAATCATGTCTAGTGAGTATATAATACATTTACTACTACTATTCTCGCAATAGACATTATATCATCTCTGCTAGAAGAAAATATCAGTTAGTACACCTAAAGCAAACTATACTTCATCTTTTGATACTGGAATTCTTTTAGATTTTCTTTAAAGCAGAATCAAAAGTACCAATTAATTTTTGTTCAAAAATGACAAATCCTAAAATGTTATATTTTGTTTTGTTCGTACAGAGTATATATGGTGATACGGTGCATAAATCTTATAAAATGGGATGTTCTCCTAGGCCCACTATAATAAAATTTGCAAATGATACGTTAATATCTCAAGAATTATACTGTTGTAATTATCCTGGATGTAATCAACGAATACTCCGTCCAAATGAAGCTATTCGTTGTTATACATGTGATTCACGTATCACTGGTTTGACAGATTGCATGATACTCAATACATCTAGTCCATATGTTTATAAATCTGCATCGTCCGATTCATCTGACTTATGCGCTGTAAGTAAATCAACATAGGAAATTAATAAAATTTACTAATTTCGATCTGCACAAGATGATTGTTGGTCTAGCAGGAACAGATCTCAAGACTGGACATCATTATTTGTCTTTTACGATACGTACATTCATTCATAATTGTGCTAATCAATCGTTCGGTAATGTAACATACGGCGGTGCTACTTTTCAAGGTCGCATTCAATGTTGCTCGACACCTCTTTGCAACATAGATCGTAAGTTTTTATAGAAAAACTATTGAAAACACAATTCTTTTTTTCTCTTCATCATCTAGCTTTATATACAAATCTATCAGTACCAGTATCAACACATGCTTACACTATTTTAAAAATAGTTGTACCTATTTCTATAGCTTGTCTCGGACTCATTTTTGCTATCACCGGTATTACATTATCTATTTATCGATTTCGTTGGAAGAAATCAAATCAACGCTACATGTACACTCTTCCTAGTGATGGTGCAACAGTAACATTTTTATCTTCATACTAAGCCAATAATAATCAATTTCAATTAATTCATTTGATATGAATTGTTACTTTAATATATATTTTTCTGCAATGTAGCACATGCGCGAGTCGACTTCGATGATTCATAACGAGGAACCAGAATGATAAAATGTTATTTTAAATAAAATTAGTGTTAACCGTCAGTTCTTCGATGTCACATCAAAACATTTCTCATCAGATCGATATTTGCCTCCTGTCATAAGAACTAAGAGGTTTTACCCCTAAGATAAACAGAGAGAAAAAGCTGATGAACGCATATAAAATAATGCACATTTTTAAAATTTATTTCATCAAATAATATTGATTATGATATAAGAAAAGAAAATTGTAAGAGTTTCTTAATTATATTTTTGGGAAAAGTTTTATTATTTTATTTATATATGGACCAGGTACAACTTGTCCCGTTTTTGGATCACAATAGCCTTGTACAAAAGTTGTTTGATTGATTGCAGGCTGTCCAATGCATTTACCACGAACTGTAATTGAATATTCTGTATATTTTTCTTCGCCATCCACCGTTAATATAGGCTTTTCAATAGCTGAATCAACAATAAAATGAACAGCTGTCACTCGAATACCAGTACCATCAATAAATGATGGGTTTGCTTGATGATTTGGATAAACGATATCCCATGTGAGATTACTCTAAACAATCGAATTAAAATCTGTTTGAATTTAGAAACAAAGCAGAATTTGTTTTTCTGTACTTTACTCGCAGGACCATTAAATAAACCATACCATAATTGCGGAGAAACATTACCTGCATTAAATTGCAGCTCAGGTGCATCGGCTCGTTGTTGACATACAGCAACGTCTGTATCATCACATTTTCCCGTGTTACCCGCACAGCTCCACCAATAGATGTATTTACCACCGAAGCCAGGTCCATTAAGAGCAACTGGCCATGTATCGACAAGATCTGTTATATCGTAGACAGATGCATTTCCATAAGCGCGACATGGATTTTTAGGATCAATTAATAATAAACTTGCTAAACAAATATTTTTTAGAAATATACTGATTAGAATGCATGATAAGATGATAGATGTTTGAAACATTATTTATGTAACGATCTATAATATTGTATTGCTTATAACTTACAATCGAAATTCAAAAAACGAAACAAAGCTGTTTTTTAAATTTTAAATCAATAGTAATCTTTTCTACCTAGTTGGCTAATTTTAACAATTGTAGTTATCGAAAGAAGTAAGCAGACACAACGAAACAATGGTCATTTTAGCTGAGGAGATCAAAGATAAGGAGTAGTCGCTTTTTTTGCTGTTTTCTTATCATACACGTGAATTTGTTTTTTATTCTCGCTACTTGGAATCAAACACTTTGAAATACGTATTAATTAAGATTTTCCAAAAAGATTTTTCTACGGATATATAATCACACTAAGGTTAATAAATACATTCGAATCGAACGATAAGGAATGCAAAGCTAAAAAGATATTGTCCTCTCATACTTTATCGTGTTGTCTTAAATATGTATATAGCTAAACCGTGAAATTACGATGTGATGCAATTGCCGCTTGCAAATTTAACTAATCGTTGAATATAGCTTGTACTATAGATTAGAATGGCGATGAAAATATTAGGCGTCTAATCATTTCGATGCATAGATCAACTCTGTGCTAATAGCAACCATTTCAAGTCCATGAATGTTAAGAACGTTCTGTGTCACACGTCGAATTTTAATTTTCAAGATCAAAGTTCAACTATCAATCGTTTTCTCACGAGAAACATCTATTACAAAAAATAAAATTTAGCAGCACTTGCATTTTCGCGAACATCTAATGCATTGGTTTTACTGTTTTTTATTCGTCTCATTTGATTTATGACTTTTTTTGTCATATGATTGGTTAAACTGCAAGCCTAAGCTATTGTGTACTCAAATTTAATTAACGCACCACCACAAATCTCGACACAACATATTATATATTTATATAGAAACTGTTATATCCGTTATCATTCAAAGTTAGGATTTGGCAATGTCAATTACATCTGATCAATACGCCACTTTCGATCATGACTTGGGATTATCATAATAAAAACCTTCGAAATGTTAGGACACAGACTATGAATCCGATTTCATTTTTTCACATAGTTTAGTAGCTTTTCCGTTACTAAGAGGCTTCGCGTGAAAGTTTTGGATATAGTAATGCTCTTTGATGTGGCACCGTACTCACGCATTATTTTACTTTTAGTAAATAGCGAAGCGGGGGAGATAACTGAAAACTTTAGCCTTTAGCTTACACTGACTTTTTTTTTCAAGCAATACATGTGAGTTTCACAACAAAAACATTTGAGTGAATAATCAAACTAACAGAATTATAATTGTCTTGTTTTGATCTAGTTAATGATACTGATTTTATCTTCGCCATACGATGAAACAAGTAACTTCCATGGAAGTGGACAATGAGCGAGATTGACAGACAATGCCAATTTATTCTTTAGTCGATGATGAGTAAGTACGAGTTCGGCATTTTCACAATTAATAGTTAATGTTATTCGATCAGCTGGTTGCATGGTCTTCTCTTTGTAAGTTTTCGGCAGCGCAGTGCCATTCATTATAGCGCGATTAAAGTCTCGCCAACCATAGGCTGATGGTAGTTCTGTGGCTCGTGCTGTAATCTCTTGTGTCGATGCCAAAATACCGAAAAAGATGCCTTCATTTTTCTTAGCAGCGATTTGAAACCGAATGCGATGAGTTCCCGAAAGATAAACTTTGGTACCGCAGACGCTCGAATAACCAACGCATGCCGCAACTGAATTATTTTCAGATAATCTTACATGTCCAGCGAATCGATGAAATCGTTCTTCAGCGACTGACTTTGGCTCTACCACTAAGAAAGAACGTGATTCCAATTGAACAGTCGAATTCGTTCTTGCATTCATTTTTGAGTGTACCGAACTATTTACAGGCGGCTCGTAAGTTACTTTAATTGATTTAATCGAAGATGATGGCGATGGATCGCTTACAAGACCAATGGGAAATGGTAGTTTAAGTAAATCTTGGAGTGTCTGAAGTTGGTGGTTCCAATTCTTCAAGTTAACTTCTACTGCGTCTCTTTTCTCACGATTAGACTTCATGCTTAGAGTAATCTTGTCTAAACCTTCATTTAAGTCATCCAGTGTTTGTTTAGTATATTTTTGAACATCAGCTTTAGCAGTTGCAGCTATCAAATGAATCTTTTCAATAGATTCTTCTTCCCAAGCCTCGATGGCAGATAAAATTGGAGCTGGATCATTATCTTCTGGTATATTTTGACGGAAACGTTCACATTCATTATCTATTTGATCCACTCGCCGCATAATTTCGTTTCGATGTTCAGATAGATGTTGTTGACAGAAATTCTTTTGACAGCCATCGCAAATGACTAAATCAGCATTCGTCGTACATTTTATGCATGTCTTTTTCGTTGAGAACATTGTCGTATTTTGTTTATCTAAGAAGAAGCATAAAAACACGGCCTATATAAAGATTCTTATTCAAAATTTCACTAGAAAAATGTACTTTCTCAATTCGATTACTATAAATCAAATGAATAAAAACTAGACGCTACTTTTCATGATCGAGTCATCGATCATTAGTTGCTTTTATTCGAAAAATTACACCGCCTACTTCCAAATCATCATTGTTACATTGTATTTAATGTCAATCTATTTTATTACTCAACACTACTAGAATTGATCGTGCATATGATATGAATTACATGAGAATTAAAGACTGCAATGAGCATACGCCAATAGCAGATTAACATACTCGACTATTTATCCTCAAGATTTTTCTTATATGATTTTCGTACAGGTTTGTTAATGTTCTGTATTATTGTACATGAATTTACGTTCTATGCAAATAGGAATGATGAAGATAATGTACGCTATATACCTACCAATATTACTCACCGAGAGACTATAATTTTCTAAAACACTAGGTCAACGAACATAACATACGTTGTCTTACACAAATCAATAACATCAACAATACAGAATGAGCTGCCACACAACTAGAGAAATGTTTTTTCTTTAAATTCAACTGCTATGCAACAACAACGAAAAAGCATGAGCAGCGATGACGCCCTCAGGATAGAAGAGAAAGCGCGCTGTTCTTTTAATTGTAAGATTTGAATGAGTCGTTTTTACTGCATCAACGAAATGTTATGATGTTGGTTACCATAAACTTGTGATTATCACAATATAAGAAATCAGAAACGATCAACTAATAAATGTAAAGTTGTAATCTCAATGGAAAAACAAGTGTCTTTCAAGCAGATCTCAGTTTGATTTCGAGCTGAATCAACAATGAAATATCGTGTCTTGATGATCATCATCAGAAAAAGAATGCTCACTTACATTTACGTGCTGTTATTCGCGCGGCTTGTACATAAAATCATTTTTGCATATTTTTTTCCATTGGATACGTCGATGCGAGTTAACCTGTGCGAATTTAAGTTTGACAAATTTTGCTTTTAGAAAATACTTTAGTCATCATTAAAACTAAAGGTCGACTCATTCTCTTGCTTTCATAAAGCTCGTTTGGTTATTTCCACATTGAAATGAGCAGTAGAATATGTGAGATTCAAAACGAATGCGATTCAGAAGTAAAGCTATTAAGACAAAGTGTTTCGTTCTCTTTCTCATCTGACTGTTATTCTTTATTTTGTTTTGTTTTTATATAGTGAAAGTCGAATTGTGTAAAATAATTGAAAAAGAGAGATTAAAGAGGTGCGGTGAACTTGAAATTCTGTATTTATATTAACCTTTTTCATTGTGCTTCCAAGATTGAAAACGAAATTAAAACACTATCAAAAAACGTTCGGCTAAGGTATCGTAGCTGTTCACTATGAATCACGGTTATAATTATCCCGAGTACATTCACCAACAACAATTTGTATATATCTGTGCTAAATGTTCGCTGATTCTTTATCATGAACGATAAACATCACATCGATCGCCTAAGAATGGCATCGATATGAATAATAATATCGCCATATCAGTTCATCTAGAGAAGTTAGAATGTAAATCATAAGAAGTTCGGGAAATTAAACTGGTAAACTGGATATGGTAACACCTGAATGTGCTTTGTAATAGCTAATATGTTTAAAGAGTGGATGCAAAGTGTTCAACGATATATATTGATCCCACGCTTGAACCATTGTCTTTAGATAAAGATAAGAAATGTGGTTCAACATGAAAAGAGCATTAACAAAATTTTTGAAAGTCATTTGGGAGTTTTCAAATCCATCATAACATAGAATATCATCAAATGTAAGCCATTCAAGATTAGGTGTAAGTTTGAAAATCGAAGGAAGCATTTCGATTATTGAACGAATAGAAAGACGCCGAAGATGAAAATTCATACAAGAAAAAGAATGTTTTGGAAGAGAGAGATTGATTTGAGAAGTCGGATAAACGATCATATTTAATCGAGATATGTTTGGACAAGCACGAAGTACACAGATAATTCCATATGGACCATGAACACTAATTGACAACGAACGAATTTTTGGAGACGTACTCCAAGAATGATCAGTAGAAGTACGATCGAATCTACATACTGTTAAACGTTCAAAAGCATCTGAGAAGATTAAATTTAAAAGAACAGTATCTTCAAGCGGATAAGAAAGACTTAAATATTCAAGGTAAGGGAAATTTTCAGGTCGAATGGAATTACGCTGTTGCAGACTTGGATAGCCCAGAGTTAATGAACAAAGAGCAGAAAACGATTTTATATCAAATTTTCCAAGACGTACATTCAGACGTGTAATAGTTGAAAGAAAAAACATAAGTGCTGGATGATGCTGAGTTGAGGAATCGACGGTAAAATCCAAATGCATCAATGATCGTAGAACGGTATTAATACGTTTATTGAGACCAGAAAAAGAATAATATAATTCATCCCATGAAAAAAGTGGAAAAATCTCCTGAAGAAATATTTCGTCAAGTAGATTCTCCAAATGCATTAAATCAGAGTTGTTATTCATTTATAGATACTCGATTAAAAATCTAAAAGATATTGATATTCTGAAATTGATTTTTGAAACTATTTCAGACTTGACTAAAAAGAAAAGTACGACATGTTTTGTAAAGCTTTCACACTTGACTACATAAAAGTTGAACTAAAACTGAGTTTTTTTTACAAGCTCAAAAATTCTTTTCATTACGACGACTATAATATAGACTTATTTTTGCAACCTAGCCAGTTACTCCAGAAAGCCTATTGGAATAACTAGATTGATCCATTGGTCGATCGCAGTTGTTTTTTCAATATCACTTGTAAAGTTATTGATCATAGGACTTCGTAAACATAAAGTAGTATCATCTGAGTGTTCAGTAAGTGGTATTATGCTTAATGGCTTTTCCTATTGATTTGATATACCTTTAATGTTGAGTATAGCATTCAAAAACAGTTGCATAGTTGCTAGTGCAGTGTCACAAACGATTTCATGCGCATATACTAGTTGAAAGTTTGTTTATCGATCAATAATCACTGAATTTTCGAAACATTTCTAGTCGGTGATATGTAACATTACCTGTGAGTTTATTCTAACAAGATGAACCATATTTAAGCGCTTCAGTAGTAATGATTTCGTTAACCAATTGGAGTTGACAGGCATCAATATACGTTTATATACGTGTATTAGTTGTGCAAATATATTAGGCATCGTGTCCACCATTAATTCCAACTTCCGAAGTTATATCATTACCTTTACTAATCGATACGTGGCTTTGTACTATATAGTAACTGTAAGAGTACTTATCAACGGTAGTATAAATGAATTTTTTCTGTCGAATTTCCTGATTTGATTAGATTCTAGCTGATACTTGACTAAAACCTATCCAACAACGAATATCATACTTACAAGTTTTACAGTATGCAACAATAATGAAAATTGTACCATGCACCACGATTTTTCCAATGTGTTAGATGATTACTATTAAATATTACTGCGATTACTGCAATTACTAAAACTGTATTGGTCATGAGCCAACAACCAATAGATTTCGTTTCAAGTGTTGATTAGATAAAAAGAATAGTGGGCTCTATATATACTTTAAAATATTAATTTTAACCGTTAACATAAATTCAAAGGACAAACATGCGATTACAATTTAATTTGTTTTTCCATAGAATTATCTGAGAAGAATTTCAAGACTCCATATAACTTGACTTCTACAAAAACTTTATTATAAACGCCACACTTTTTTCTAATAAGAGATATGCAACTAGTTTTTAAAAGTTAATGATGTTAGAATTGTGTAGCTAAAAGAAATATTTGGCAACATTTTTTCAGCTTGAAAATTATTGTATCATTATCATGTTCGATCCGAAGAATTAAAACGATTTTCTCTCATATAATTATCGAGCGAATCGATAATGTAAAGTGTCGCATGCGATGGTACACTAAGCATTGGATTCGTTTTTTTTCAAAACTATGAGTTCCGTATAGTATAGAAACGACGTAACATCTACGAATAAAACCTAACTCATTGATAGTATGCTCGTATATGATTATGAATCATTGGTTTAGCCCTTCAGACGAGCCAACAGACACGAATTAGAATTGAATACACGGCATAAAATGTGCATTCAGCTTTAACAGGCTGATTATAAAAAAATGTCTTAAATAAGAACAGCATGCTTAGTCAGGTAGTTTTCTTTTCAAACGGATGAAGCTACACTACAGAAAAGCTTCAACAAGAATGCAAAGAATATCTCTTTTCAGAATAACGCAAGATGTCACTACAGCTAACTGACTTCTTCTAATTGACCTGATGAATTCGCTAGGATAGCAATCCATACAGAGATGGATTTCATAGAATGTTAACAGTAGCACTTGAGTGTGAGTTTCATTCTAAAGTGGATTTCTTGAGTATGACATTAAGTTTATGATTCATGCATTATACTCCAACGCTTACGTGATTTTTTAATTGAAAATGAACATTGCCCGACAGGAAAAGAAAAACAATAGAGAAAGAAATAAATCAGGATCTATGATTCAATTGGCTAGTTCTTAAGAGCCAATGCACATGAATCATTACACAAAAAATATTTGCTCAATATCTCTTGCTAGCAAATATTTTCTTTTACAATGATAAAAAGAAATTGCAACAAACGTACTTTTTGTATTCTATAATACTGTAAAAATTTTGCTCCTTTAGCTTTTATCTGAGTTAGAATTTTCTTTTACTTATTCTTATCAAGATATATGTTCTCACAAGTTATGAAGAGAATGAAGCAAGTTATATATCTCCCATGAAATATGGTCTAAAACAGTTCATTTCAAGGTCACATAAAAGCAACAACTGCGTACATAATGACGTCAACTAATGATATTAATAATATTCCAGTAAAATCAATATCAAAACAAAAAATATTACTAATCGTAATTAGTTTAACTGTTTTATCCATTGCTCTGGTTTATCAACCATTACCAGAAAATTTTCCTCAACCATGGAAGTATCGATTTCTTTCGTTTTGGGCACATATTTTTTCAAAATTGGTGAGATTTAAACAGATAATTCTTCTTTTACTATGTAGTTTCATTTTTTTCCATAGGGCTATTTAGGTGAAAAAGTAAATTTATTCGACCGTATTCATGTTTTACGTTTTCTTTATTATATTACTGTTGGTTGTTTCCAAATACGAAATCCTGAACATCATTTGAAGGTACGGTTCTGTCTATTCATTTTACTAATAATATATTGTGTTTTCTAGATTTATGATAGAAGAATATTAAATGTTAGTGTTCGTATATATGAACCTGAAGAATTAGACTATATGGATAAAATGCCGACAATAATACATTTTCATGGTGGTGGATTTCTTCTTGGTTGTCGAGAAACATATGATCAAGTTACATATGCATTAGCCAATTTAACACGAGCACTTGTGATATCCGTCGAGTAAGTGTTTTATTCTTTTTTTGTTTTGATATGATTTTTCCCCCAATGTGAAAATTGATATAGAGATCATTGAAAACGAAAGTTAAATAGATTTCTCTCTCATTAGTTAAGATTGAATCTATGATACAGAATATAACCGGAGATTCTCATCACGGAATCTATGACAAAACGAAATATTAGAAGTGGTAGAACTTTTTATGCTGATTGCCTATATTTTTAGATATCGTCGTGTACCAGAACACTATTTTCCTGCAGCACTCGATGATTGTACTTCAATTACATATGAATTATTTAAAAATGCTGACAAATATCGTATCGATGTCAATCGTATAACATTAGCGGGTGACTCAGCTGGCGGAAATCTAGCTTTAGTTATAACACAATCATTAATACAAGACGGTTATAGTCCTCGTACGGCTTGTCTTATATATCCAGCGTTGCAATTTTTTGATTTTACGTTACCATCATATCGACTTTATCTTCCTCGAAGTATTCTTGGTGTTATTAATGAAGAAAATTTTCTTTCTGTTATGTCTGAATTAAGTGAAAGTAAAGTAAAAGTAACACCTGATATTCTATTTAATAGTCACACATCTCGTCAGGATAAAATACGGTTACATCCTTATGTTGATGCTGGTAAATATTTACCTATTTCATTTCCATTTGATGTCGATCAAGAAGGCAATGAAGATTTAATTCCACATTTGAAATTTCTTATCTCACCAAAAATGTCTCCATTATTGGTACCCGATGAACAGCTAATAAAATTACCGACAATTTTACTTTTTACAGCTGAATTTGATATACTTCGAGATGAAGGTAATAAACATTTTCTTTTCCTTGTTTTAATTAACTGTATCAGTCAGTTATGTAATAATTGAAGAGCAAACAGTCAATATTCTTATCAACAAAAATATCGCATGACCACACGCATCACGTTGATAACGTTGTTCTCGTATAGTGTAAAATGTTGTTTTTCTTTCTGTAGTGACTTTAGTGCTCAGTAAAACTCTTAAGTTCATTTAAATAGAGTTTCATGAGAAAAACAATTATTTGTTATACAAGAGAGAGTGAGAGATTTGCCACCAAGAATTATTTGTAAATTAAGACAAAGTTACAGGCTCATCAACATCCGAAGACTTACTATAAGTTCGAGTTTGAATATGATGGAAAAAATATAATTTTGAATGGAGACTATTACAGCGTTGCCATGATGTTATAGAATAGAAATACGAAAACTTTGATTTAAAATCATTATTGCACATGTAAGTTGGGAACTATTGCATCTGTAAACAAGTAAAATAATACAATTACGGTAACTTTGTTTAATTTTCTAATGAGTCGCTGATAGTGAGTTTTTTCTGAATTTTCTAATGTATATGGATCAAAATGATTTTTTGGAAAGCTTTTTAAATGCTTCTATTTTTATAGGTTTTATATTTGCTGAACGTTTGCAATCATTAAATAAAACTCTTTATCATCATCATTTTGGAACAACATTCCATGGATCACATCTTTTATTATATGGTCCATTAAAATTTGATATTGCTTACGAAATGGTTGAGCATATTGCAAGAAAAATACGCGAAAATCTTTAAGTCAATATATATTAATTTATTTGATAAGCAGATAGACATTTTTTTATTTTGTTTTCCAATCGATGAATTCGCTTTTTGTGAATGAGATTCTTATATAAATATAAATTCCTTTTACAGTAGTGTCGCTACTGAGTAATTTTTATTTATGTTTTCTTACTTGATCAAAACAAAAGAAAATAGATCAAATGCCAAGTATGTCCTTTAAATTATTTTCAAATAAAAACAAATGTAATCAAAGTCAATTCACGACGGTTTATGTTTAGTTTCAATTTTCAATTGAGCTCAACTTTTCAAATGAATAAGATCGATGCTGAATAGAAACTAAACTTCATGAAAACTTAAACTTGAACAGGATACTTATTCATCTTAACATGATATGATATTTACATATAGAGACCCATCAGACAAAAAGGAGAGGGATAAATCAGTCATGTATAATTGAGAGACGAGAAGAAAAACATCAACTTATATGTATAATCATGTACATTTAGAGAAAAATCCCTATGACTGCATGTGAATATCATACATGTTGCTGTATGTATTTGTCAACCTGTATTCCAAGATAGGTTACATAATTTTAATTGTTATGTTTGACGGTATCAAGGATACCTTTTGTTGATGAAAACTGATTAGATAACAGGGGAAAATGTATGTCGCAGACAGAGTTCGCTTTCGATTAAACACTAAGTAACTGGATTGACTTTTGTTTGCGCTAAGCAAATATGGCATGATGTTTTCAGCTACTAAGAGAAGTTAATTTCATTGAATTATGCATAAACTTGGAAATATATGTGTATGAATAAGTTTCACCGGTGTGTGTGTGTGTGTTAATACTCAGTTAAATCCCACTCACATCTGTGTGTATTTACGGTCTAACTCCTGTCGTCTCGAATTACCGCTAAAAACCACGGCCTGATATAATGCGATTTCGAGCAATTTTCTACTCAGCTTGGTTTTCATGAGCTGTGCGATCGTAAACAGTCATATTTTGACAGATTACGTGGTTATTCGACCTGAGCAGCTAGTTGAGCAGCTTTTTAAAGCTTATGATTAAGATTATAATAGAATTTTCTAGAAAATATTTACTATAAGTAATGAATCCACACACCAAGTTATGCTCGTTAAAAAGTGGATACAAAAAATACTGAAAGATTTTTTCTAAAATCAATCGAAAGATGATTAATATATCTTACAAAATAGCTGATTTCATCAAGGGGAAACGGCGGATTTTTTGGGATTTAAAATCCTGAAAATCCCAAAAATTGAAAAAGCATTTCCCTCTCCCTGTCAATGACGTAGTTTCGACTTGAAATTCTTCCCATATATAGGTTTCATGGTCCATAGAAGATCCTAAGAGTTTCAAATCGAACAAATGTTTTCTTCTTAAAATATTGAATTTAAAAAAAAACTGGATTTTCTAATGGTGCCGTGAAATGAGCATTTCTTGCGTATTCATTGTTTTGAAAAGGAAACATCCGTTCGCGCTGAAAATTTTAGAATATTCTAAGGATCATGAGACTTATATATGAAAAAACTTCAGATCGAAATTCCATCATTCACGGTTTGGATTTTGGAATTTTGAAAATCCTAAAAATCCCAAATCGGTCTTTTCCACCCCTGTAATTTCATGTCTATATGATACACAAAACTGTATGAATGGTTCATTGCTATTCCTGAAAATGTTTATGACTATACAGATCGGTCATCGGAAACGGCATCTTATACGACATGAAGCGCCTATCACATGAAGCATTTATTTTCGTCGTTCTATGTTATTGACATACCGTTTGTTTTTTTGGACGTGACATATATGAAAATATTTATGATTTTGGAAGTTGTTTTCAAAATTCTGATTGAGTTATTGTTTGATGTTTTTTCGTTCTGCATTTTACAAATATCTAATCTCGTTCGATACAAAGAACTTTTAAACACTTACGTGTGAATCATATTCACAAATATTACTAAATGATAGATTACGCTTGAATTTGTCAGGACATTGATTCATTCAGTTTACTGATAATCTTCATCAGATTTATCATTATTATGACTTTTCAAGTAGTCTCCTACGTTAATATACGTCGTTGTGCTTTTTATATTTTGATCACGTCATCGATGTCAAAATTTCCATGACAAATATTTTGAGGGTGTAACAATGATGACATAGATATAGTCATCAGGATGGTATATTTCATCAATTCAAAATTAAGAATCATAATAGGACGACAAATATATCGATAAAATTCTTTCTTTATCACTTTAACAATCGTTGATGTTTGCAGATGATAATTGAAAATAAATTATACTTGTTATTATTAATTTACGATACTACAAAATAAATGCAGCTCTTATTTGCGTAGGAAGCAGAAAACGAATTTGTCTATAAATACTAACACTGTATAGCATTAGCATAAGTTTTATTTTATTTAGTTATAGTATAGTGACTTATATTAAAAGTCAAATGATATTTACTATTTTATTGGATTCAAGTAACTACTAATCAAAAGCTGAATAGAAAAATGAACAAATTTCTATAGGTCGTCACAGGTTTGAGAAAATATACAGCGAACGAACAAAACAAATGAAATGATTTTTGTAGTTTACTTTGTTTATTGGTTTTCTGCAAATGTCAAACCGACGATACTGATACTGATACTGATGGAATAGTTATATCGTCGGCTAGTTCAAGTACTACAAATTTATTCAATACAAACCTTAATATTTAAGATTTAGTTGAGACGACAAGTGGTGCAGATGCTTTTCATTCAGCTGCAACCGTTGCAAGTACATACGAACAAACTTTTAAAAGTTCTACTGATTCTGCGACAAATCTGGCCAGTACAAGTACAACAATACAAAGTATATAATCAATTCTTGCAAGGTTCAACTAGCATACTCTTTTTTTACATTTAGGTGTAACAAATACTGAAGAAATATCTTTCACAACTCCACCTTCTTCTTCTTCATGTAAGTTAACGGTGATGTCAACATCTATTTCAATTTACAGCATGTCTTTTCTGTTTTTAGCAAAAAAGAACAACTTAGGTCTGATTTATGGTCTATCGTTACGTCTTGGCATACCATTGGTACTTATTATTGGTGTTGGCATTCTCTATTAGTAAAAAACAAAAAGTGAGACAACTAACAGAATCAACAACGAAGATTTTTAATTTCTTGACAAAATTAGCTCATTTTTTGTAAATAACAACAACACTTTCATATATTAACGATGTTCGCAAAAGAAACTGAATTTATTTCTCTCTGCTTTTTTTTTTGTTAAACTGTGAATTTCTAAGAAAGGAAGTTCTTTGAATTTATGAAATTCTACTCCCATGTGTTTCATTACAATAAAACTGTGGCGCAGTTACGCCGTAACTGTGATCACACTGTGATCCGTAATTGCGGAAAATTGTGACGTAACTACGCGTAACTATGATGAAAAAATTGCAGCACGCATAACTGCGTCCACGTTTTTCGCAATTATGTGTCACAGTGTCGTCGCAATTGGTACAAAAGATGACATAGATTAGCTTTTCATTTTATTTCTACTTTTATTGTGAATTTAAAAAATTTTTGCACAAAATAAAAACTTAAAAGTATAAAATTAAAATTTTTATACAAAATAAAAAACAATTTTTAAATTAAAAATTTTCACAATAAAAAATAATTGAAAAATTAAAACCCAAAAAAATTTCAAAATTTACTGTTAAAAGTTAAAAAAATTTTAATTTTAAAAATTAAGGAAAATAAAAAATAAATATCTAGAAAAATAAAAATATTAACATCTAAAACAATTTTTAAAAATTTACATGAGATGCCTAGCTCGAATTCGAATATAAATGGACACCCAACTGGATGGATCAATTCGAAAATAAGTGTTAGAAATAGATTTAGTTCTAGATTTAGTTTTAGTTTTATATTTAGTTTAAGATGGAGTGGATGTGGGTTGAGGGCGACTAAGGAGTAACTGTGGGTGTGGGTGTGGGTGTGGGTGTGGGTGAAGGGTACCCGGAAGGGGTGTAGGAGAGGGTATATGGGATACTTCAAACGTGAGTGTGAGTGATGGATACCATGGAGGAGTGCTCAAATGTGNGTGGGTGTGGGTGTGGGTGTGGGTGAAGGGTACCCGGAAGGGGTGTAGGAGAGGGTATATGGGATACTTCAAATGTGAGTGTGAGTGATGGATACCATGGAGGAGTGCTCAAATGTGGGTGCAGGTGAAGGGTATATATGTATTCATATGTCGCATATATCGGAAAGTTAAACTAAAACTAAATCTATTCCTAGATTTAGTTTTAGTTTAACTTTTTCTTTTCTCCATTTATATTCGAACTCGAATTAGACAGCTACTCAATGTTTCTATGATTCAACGCACGATATTATATATTTCAATAGGATATTTAACCAAAAACTATCAGGTTTGATCGTTAGGCTACGATTAAAAAAGCTTGTTAGTGCAGCCCCTTTGGGGCTAAAATTTGGAACTCACATATGACTTTTCGCCTAATTTACTTATACACAATGTGTGGTGCGAAATTTGCTGCAAGAAAATCGATCGGTATAAAGTCTTATTTAGTTTTTGCATGCTTGCTAATATCTGTAATGCAAGGTAGTGTCTGTAAGCGCGTGAAAGATTTGTAAGGGGGTCTGTAAGTGGGTCGATAAGGGAGTGTAAGGGGGTTGGGTCTGTAATGTGGATGGGAGGGTGGGGGGTGGGGAGCCGCAAAAATCCCGCTTTTAAACTTACACTCACCATTTTCTTCGAAAATATATGTGAGCTCCACAAAATGTATGTAGGAAAGCTCTCAAATAGGATGACTAATAGGAAGAAGTACGAGAACAAAATGTATGTCATAGCTGCCATCAGTCGACAGTTGATTCGTGTTGGTGTGGGTGTGGATATGACGTGTGCAACGATAAATGTGCGACTCTGTTTTTGGGTTGATATTGTAATGGCAGACTAGAAAGATGTGGAGTAGCTTACCACCACTCTCAGTAATGATGTTTCTTAGCTTCTTCACATATCTAGAGCGTAACAGCTTCATACATAACACACACACACATATATATAGGAGAGAGACAGGAGAGATATATATTAAAACAATGGATAGAGAACAGAAAGAGGAGAAAGGAGAACCATCCAAGCGTGCCATCAATATCGGCACAACGTGAAAGCTATTGTGGCTATGTGAATATACCCTTTGCTCAGACATTCACATACTGTAATGTATACTTATCGAGATATAGATGTAAAAGCTAATGCTAATGCAGTGATTTGTGAATTCGTAAAATTTAACCATCGACTGTCTTTTTTTAGAATTTATTGCTTAATTTTTTCTCAAAAATGGGTGTTTTGTTTTCATGAATTTATAGATTTACTACATGAAAACAAAATAGAGAATTACGAAAACTAAAATGCATATTTCAATACATGAATAACATTCATACTATCAGTGTTTTATCCAGCGGGAGGAGAAGGGACATTTTGCCCTCCCGGAGATCGCGTTTGCCCTGCCGAGAAAAATGAAATAAATAATTAACTTTTATATATGTTACAAAACACAGATCTCTTGAAAACATCAGTATAATAGACTCGATACTAGTCATGGCAGTTCGCACCTTAGAAAACTGCTGTCTGCCCTCCCGACAACTGCATTCGCGCTTTCAGGGTGAAAACCCTGGAGTCACCGCTGTTATGTAGAAAGGCACGCGATCAAAGATATGTAATACAATGAAATAGATCTGAGTGAGTGCATCACTGAATGATTTTGCAAATATTCCATTGTGTTAGTGAATGTGCGCTGTGGATTCAAGCATTATAACGTAAATGAGGCTTTGATACATGAACTACCTACTGAGTTCCTCGTCAGTGCCTTCTCACTACTTCACATTAATCTCTTAGGTTACGTAAATATGTAAGTATTGAGCTAAGGTAGTTTACATTTGCATCAATTTTGATTTCGTCAAATTAAACCAAAACCGGAAGGTATTCAGATCACCTATAACGCATTTGGGTGTGTAAAAGTGTTGATGTGTGTCGTTTTTCTCGTTGGTGATGGATTTTAGCATGTGATTGTAAATGTTTACATTATATATAAGCCATCGACTGAATATATAGATTGGCATGTGTTGATGTCGACCAGTGTCTCTCAATTCAAGTGTGCGTATAAGGGTGTGGTTGCTCGTCTACGCAGGTGTTGAGTGACGTAAAGTGTAGGGTGTGCCTGATAAGAATTTTTGTCATATTTGGAATGAATATTTCGACTGACATAGCCTAGAGAATTGATTTACACCTCTTCAAGTGAATAAAATTTCTCTGAAACGCTATCGAAACTCGAAACAGCATTCTTTTCAAGCGAAATAAGCCATTTTATCCTCCAAAGCGCTTGTTGGAAATAATTTTATTCCTTGGTTTTCAGCGAAAATCTGGTAGACACTGATAGACGCACCCGCGTTACATATAAATAATCACATTTTTCGTCTGTGTTCTGTTAAAACACTGATTTTTTTCTATGAAAACGTTTTGTACTGCATCTAGTATCATTTGGTTTATATCTTCCAGCTACTCTGTTCAGATGATGAAAGTTCTGCTTTGAATATTACTGCTGTACGAGATAGCCGCTAGCGGAGATCAAGGCGAATTGAAGGGTAAGTCACAATGAAAACCTTTTCTAGAATACTTAATCACGACCAATTACGGTTTATGGAGCCGTTTGCCATCATTTGAATTCGCCATACTCAGGTTGTACGACACATGTTCAGTATACGACCATTTATGGAGTATTGACGAACCGTATTATGTTAGCCTAGATTATAGAATATTCACGGCCAATTAAGATCTCATATTTAAAGGCTTTTGTTAGGATTTGGTTATAAATATTCGTTTATTTTATTTATAACGAAAGTAACAAAAAAAATCAAACGGTAACCGACCATAGCGATAAACAACAATGATAATAAACGAACGAACTAGTCGCTCCGTTTGTCACGGAGACGACTCGATATCTTCACACACTTCTCTTCTCTCTGTTCTCTTCTGTATATACTAGATTATCGATCCATATTTATATATACTTCGAAGACGAATCAAATAGAAAGAGACAAAGGAAAATAGCTTATAGGTTATTGGGACGATAGGTACCGTCCCATTACAGCTCTCGTTTGGAGAATGTATAATAGTAGAACTAATAGTTAGTCTGCTAAACAATGGCAGAGCTTACATAGACTGGCTGCCATACTTTATTATCGTAACTTGATTATACATTTAATAGAATAATATATTTTAATATATTATATTTTCTAAAGGAGAAGTATAACAATAACCATCAGTGAGGAATATTATAATATAGAAGATGATGATAATTTTTGTATCTCTTATCTTTCGGATGATGACAGAACGGAGGAAAAGAATCCCCCTTCGTATGGAATCGAACCATACACCTCCTGCTTACCGGGCAGACGTATTAACCACTTTACTAGAAAGGGTATCTCTATCCGTCTTACGATTGTATGGGAACAATACGATTGTAACAATAATAAAAAACAATAACACTGATAATAACTGGGAAGAAGAAAAACCAACAACTGCGTAATAGCGAACGAAAAATCAATCACGAGAATTAGTCATAGTAGAAATATTATGTAACAAATCAAAATAAAGATCATACTAACCGATTACTCAAAGAAACGCTAGAGCGTCAGTGAGTGTCATCTACTGATGCTAACATCATAAGGCATTTAAACGGTCGTGTTTGATAATGTTACGGAAAAAATACGGATAGATACATTCATCAATCTGGGTAAGTACAAAAATTCACTACATCAATACTGTAGCACAGCTTTCCAATAGTATTTCTCAATAAGTTAAGGTTTAAATATCATTACTTTATCAGTTCTTCATATAGGTCGTCAATGATTGAAATTTTAGTAAACTGGCCATGTGATAATATAGAACTATTCATTGAGTGCGTATTTTTCTGTGCTTTTCATATTGTAAACACAAGGGTGATTGAAAATAGTTTGTGAACTTCGAAGTGGATTTCTGCAGTTTGAACATTTTGCAGATAGAAAAGACACTTCGAATGTTTTTTTTTCATTGAAGAGTTCTATGATAGAGCTTGAATAAGCTGAGTAGGACAAAAAATTTTCTATCGCACGATCTTTTCTTGTACCTGGCCGACTTTCCTCTAAAAACTTTGGACAGCGATGCACATAGCGAGTGCGCTGTCTTCTCAATAGTGCCATACATGTCGCATATTGTGTATATAAGAATAGGATGGGAAAAGAATTGATAAATTGACTTTTTCTCTAGATAAAGAGATGTTTGATCGACAATAGAGTTCGACTGTGCACGACCAGCTTCACTTGGGTCACGCAAAATTGACCCATGTCGGACACTATGGTCAATTCCTATTTTTTTTCTTCTATTTCCCGTGCCAATATTTCATGCTTCTTTGAATTCTACACAAGGAATATATATAATAAATTTATTGCAATGCTTAAAGTACTTTGAATGTTAAAAATATCGTTTAACTGTACCTTAGTTAATTTCTACCATAGATAAATGATCCACCAAGGTCATCCATTTTTCCGATTATAGCATCTCAAGTACCACTGTTTGGTTGCTAACAAACAATATTTGTTGATGTAATCATGATTCTTCATATTTAGAGTGATTTGGTTGACAAAATCTAGAAGAAAAAAATACAATCTGGAAGTCTAGGAAGCTATCGAAACACTGGATGGGAAAATGGAAGGGGGGAGTAGAGCGATTGTTTGAGTGGTTGGATTGTACGTGCTCTGCATATTATTTTTCTTTCCTGTGTTAATTGGTTTTTACGAAGGGAAAAAAGCGACACTCCGTAGCCCTGAAGCACAGAAGAAATCTTTTCCACTGTGCTCACACTCTACCGTCGCTACACTGTAAAAAAAATCCGCAGAATAATAAACGAAACAATCGTTTTCGATAGGGTATGTGACACGGTGCACTTTCATAAATCCTTTTTCTTTACAGTCTACGACGGGAGTAGGAAAATGCCGTTTTTTTGCACCGTGGGTTTTACCCAACGATGACGTGTACTCGATTTAAAAGAACGGAAAAACCCAAACAAACACAAAGAATCGGGAATCTTCTCATTGAAACACGCTTGCATATAAGCATTGGTGATGATAAAATGTTATTACACTCACTGTAAAGAACAAAGGGTTTATAAAAGTGCAACGTATCATGAACCATTTTTTTATTAAAATACTCCATCAAAAATATTTTTTCCGTTTATTATCCTGCGGATTTTTTTACAGCGCAATAAACTCTCCTACTATCGATTTCGATCAGCTTCCAATAGAATCCGATGGACATCTCTACATTTCATGTCCATAGCCAGATTTCATGCGTTATATAGCGACGTCCGCGGAATTCGTTTTTAGCACATCTATATATTTTTTCAAAATCCCATAGATTTATCGCCCGTTGGGGTCAGCGCTGGGACCCACCTGCGCTAGTTTCTTACGTCCTTTTCTTTTTAGGCACGATGATATCTGCGCTCCTTTCCGTCCAACGCTTCTCCCATATGGGTAGGCGGTCATCATAAGTATCACGTGATTGTGACATCTATGATGGGGTTGTTTTTGACTCTGTATATTGGCTAGCGATGCAATCAATACACTAACGGATGAGTCATCCGAGGCAAGTAGCCGTTAGTAATTTGTCCAAGGTCATTACATAACTGGTGATACTGAGGTTTGAACACAGTATATTGTGAATATGTGTCGAACAACATATCCACTCAGTCATGTCGGCTACATCTATATACGACAATCATAAAGCGGACATATAGGGTGTGGGTGTGCGGTGTGTTATAAGATAAGACACGCACCAAAATCCCACAGCCATACCCACACCCACTAGGCTCACTTCCTACGATCTCATAGGAAGAGGACAGTTAAAGTTACACCAGTTATCTGATTCGCTACAAAGGATTGAAATCTATCTACGAATACTATTGAGTTACGTGTAGCGATATAATCATTAGAATCTTCAATGTATGTAAATGTATTTTTCGACGATCGTATTCTTTCTACATTACATTTCTTCCTAGTTTCATTATTATTTTTTATTATAGATGTCCGTACATGTTTATTAGTCAAGTCGGAAGTTAAAATAAATACAATTAAGTGACTGTCGACGAAAACAAAACTTCCAACTTGTAAACAAGTTGACGTAATCAATCGGAGTTAGGAAGAAGAAGAATTGCGTCTCACTTTTTGCATCATTTCCTTTCTATAATTGCCGACGAAGTATCACTCACATCGATACACTTCTGTTTTACGTCTATGTATATATGCAGAATACATATGTGTTTGCGTTGTATCTCGGATCTCAATATGAACAAACTCAGGGTCAGATTGAGGTAACAGTGTTCGTTAAAAACTCCATTAGTTCATGGATACTGATTGAATTCGTTCTTTTCTTGGTAAATCATGCTGAAACAGTAGTATTGTGGATGAAAAATTGTCCATCAGCAAGTTAAAGCAAAATTCTACAAGTTATGAAAAAATTGTTGGTAAATGTTTACGCTCATATTGCGCTCGTTCAGTGATGATTACAATGCGTGAAATGTCATTGTTTCAACAAAGTTCAATAGTAAGCATTCCAATCCAATATGTATCTAGAGACTATAATGAAGGCTTCAAAGGTCACTCCTGCCTCAATCCAGCATTGGACTAGTCCAAATTGAGACACAACATTGGCCTAGGTGAATCAGAATCTGAGCAGCTTACCGATTACCGGCTAGTCCATTGGCACGGAATAGCCAATTTCCAACTGATTAATCGATGAATTATTCATTTATACTAGAAAACATTCATCTATAAACCATTTTATACCTTGAAGAGCAAGAAATCTGAATTTATACATAATAAACTAAGGAGAGGAAAATAGATGGAACAGTTATTGGTGTCATTTCTGATGTTGCTATTGCCACAGATTTCACGAACAAGTAAGTTATCAGGCGTTGTGGCGCTAAAATATTAATTTAACTTATATCTGTGATAACCCCATTCTTACATAAAATTTAACATGATATCTATTATCCAAATATCAAATATTGTCTAAAATATTAGTCAACACTGTACAGAAATAATTCTCATATCTATGTTGGTTGTGTGAGAAACTTTCATAGCTATTGGTGTACTTTATTATCATGCTGGAGGAGTTTTCGAACTTCTAGAAGGACCTGCTGTTATTTAGAGCGGTAGGAGGCGAACCTGGGCTGTCGGTAGCCAACGGTCTGATTTTTAGGCTAGCAACCTACCAGCTGAACATTAAACAAATCTTGCTAACGAAAAGAAACAAACGAAGTGTGTGAACGCATAAAAAAAACGTATATTTCGTGGATGGAATGTTCGATTATGTGGGAAACAATACCGGATACAAGTAGCTGCGTTAAGTGAAACTTGTATGTGCGATTCCTGGAAGAAATTTGTAAATGATTATACAATAGTCTATTATGTTGTATCAAGTGATAATAAAACCAGAAAAGCACACGATGTGGCTATCTGCCTTGATCTTATTGCCACAAAGGTATTGAAAGATTCAGGGTATGAATGGGAAGCAGTTATTGAACTAATTATCAAAATTAGATTGAAGCGCACACCAATTGACGTTACGGTATTATCTGTTTATTCTCCGGTTAATCCATCGACGAAACAAATGGCAAATGACACTGATAAATTTTATTCTGATCTACAAGATACCATAAGCAACGTGTCTACAAATTATATGTTTATCATTATGGGTGATTTAAATGCCAGATTGGATGGAAATCAACAACAACTGACATCAACATCATCGTATCAAATACATTCATCCAACATAAATTACCTCATCAAACCTCTTGGATGCATCCAGGCAACAAGATATAGCACATGATTGATTACACGTTAGTGAACAAGAAGTTTAGATCGAGCGTTGAAGACGTTCGAATGTATAGAAGAGCTTCAGATGATATAGAAACGGACCATCATTTGATGCGTATCAAAATCAAAATTCATTTGAAAAGTAGAAGGAAGTGTGCCTTATAAAAGAAAACAAGTGTCGATGCTGCAAAACAAAACGATGAGAAACTAGTAGAAGCATTTCAAAAAGATCTTCGTGAAATGGCTGATGATGCAAATATCGATACAATTATCATTGATGAGAAATATGAATCGTTTGTATCACATCTTAAAGAAAAGAATGGCTTACAGATGAAATGTTCAGAATCATAGATAAAACACCGATAACATTCCTTGAATGGCAGAACCATCGCGGCACAAGTTTAGAAGCTGTGTATAGAAACAAATACAAGCATCTTCGAAAATTAGCCAAGGCGAAGATTGAACATCGTCAAGAAGAATATTGGGGCGAAGTATGTGAGGGTATAGAAAAGTCCACCAAAAGCAACGATCCTGCAACTGTATTCTCGATCATAAGACGACTTAAAGGAGGAATTAAAAGACTGGAAAATATACCAATTGAAGATAAAAATGTCAAATTACTCGTGAGCTCGACCGATCAATTGGAACATTGGCGCGAGTATTTTTGTGAATTGTTGAATGCTTATTCAACTGTTGATCCCTGTGTAATAAATGAGGTTCAAATAACAATAGCATCAAGGTTGGACTTGGAACGACAGAACGCGCAACCTTCTTTTGAAGAGGTGACAGCTGATATTCTAAAAGCTGGCGGTGAGCCAGTGATTAAATGGCTGCACAAAATGTTCGCTGATGTGTGAAAGAATGAACAGGTGGTGAAGAAATGAAGCTCAGCCACTCTAGTTAGACTATATAAGAATAAAGGAGACAACAAGCTGTGTGACAATTACAGAGGTATCTTGTTGCTGAGTATTACTGGCAAAATACTCTCTCGTATCATTCTCAACCGTATTCAAAATCCGATTGATGAACGATTAGTAAAAATACAATCTGGTTTTCGATTGAACAAATCAACCATTGATCAAATATTCACATTGAAAATGACTATGGAAAGAAGAAGAGAGTTCAATAAACCTTTGTTTATGTGCTTCATTGATATTGCAAAGGCTTACGACTCAATCAATCGTGAACTGTTGTGGAGAATATGTCAAAGCTATGGCATTTCTGAAAAACGGATCAATCTGCTACGAATGCTATATAAGGATTCAAAAGCAATAGTAAAAATTAATGGGAAACTATCAGACTGTTTCGACATAGAAACAGAAGTCATGCAAGGTTGAATATCATCTTCAATGCTATTCAATATTCTATTTGATTTTGTCATTAGAAAAGTTATTGAAGAGGCTAGTGTTGCTGGTGTAAAATTCTCGTATGGTAGTAATGATTTCTTTCATGGATGTCGTGAAAAATACGAAAACTTTAATGCCTTGGGTCTTCTATATGCAGACGATTTGGTTGCAATGTGTGAAACTACTGATGATCTTGAGAAACTTATAAGATCGTTTGAAAAAATCACACAAAAATTTGGTTTAACGATGAGCTTTAAGAAAACATGCATTATGACATTGCAATAACTCAAGAAAGATCAACATGGAAAGGTTTTGAAAGGATAAAAAGTGGACCATCCTAACATCGATATAAATATTCGAAATTAAAAGATTAAAACAGTTGACCCTTTCACATAGTTAGGATGCACTATTACCATAGACCAACGACAAGATACAGAGCTAGAAATTCGTCTAGTGAAATCTGCCAGAGCATTTAATACGCTACAATATTTAATCTGGCACAAAAAAAATCGGTTTCCATAGTAGTAAGACTCCGTATTTTCAGATTATGTGTGCTTCCAGTGGTTATTATATGGAAGCGAAGTTTGATCGCTTACAACAACTCAAGAGCGTAGAATAACAAGTTTTTATACCAGATGTGTATGCACAATCATATAGGAGTAAACTTAGGTGATAGAGTGTCAAATGGCAAACTACTGAAAATCACTGAATAACCATCGATCGAAGACAACATGCGTAGAAACTGACTGAGATGATTCGGCCACGCGAATAGAATTGTAAACAATGACAATGAAGCACCACTAACAAAAAAAATCATGGTTTCATGACGAAAAAAGGTCGCATAGTATTGGAATACGGAAAAGGTGGGAGAATAAAGTCATGCTCGATATCGATACACTTCAAATTGGAAACTGGAGAAGTCTAACCCAGAATAGAAATAGATGGCGAAATGCAATTAACAGAAATGTACAAACTAAGGCAGTACATAACAACATCAAAGAAATTGTATCTAAATATAAACAACGAGCAGTGAGACGGAGAGCAAAAGAACGGGCAGTAGCACAGGGAATGGTACACTGAAAAGTGACACAACTGTTAATGAAAGTCAGCAATAATCAATGCAAGTGCCCTGGTTGTGTCAAAAAGTTTAAACCTCAGGGAATCATGAACCACATGAAAGCGTGTATTAAAGCAAGAGCCTGGTGTAACAAGAACGAAATTGGATAACAAAGCAGCAAATTGTGGGACATCTACTGAAATTGGAACTGGGAGAGCAATGCTGACTATTATTTAAACTGGTTCACCAGAGAGTAATAGTTTGATGGATATACCTTGGTTTCTAATTCGGTATAGCGATCACCTGAACACTCATCGATAATATAAAGACTCTATTTTGTTTTCTTTCTTACTGTTTAAATTTTTATGTGTTTGTGCAGTTCTTTTGTTTCGCACCCTACGCTGGAAACGGTAAACGGGTATATAATATTATATATTATTTATTATCATTCTAGATCATACCATTAAGATTGAAGTTTCGCTGGGTAACACTACTAGTATAGTTTTATGAAGATGTTGGCGGTTCAAAGATATGATCTTACACAAAATAATTCCTGCAAGCAATCGTATTCTCAAATAAATAGTGGCTTGCATCAATTTGTGTTGGGCATATGTAACCAGCTGAAATCGCATGGCGTATATTCAGCTCTTCACATGAAATCTTGCGGCTTTCAATATACAGGAGAAGGCGACACGGCTCGATGCACTCAATGTGGTCTCAAATTATCTGAATGGACTTTAGAGAGGGATCCATTTCATATTCATGCAGAACGTAATCCGCATTGTTCATTTGTTCAGTTACAGCAATCAAAGTATAAACCCATACAGAATGCTGAAGAAAATCCGGCTAAAAGACGGAAACTAGAATTCAATATCGATAGTTTCACGAGACTGAACAAATCTTTCGAGATAAATTCTCTTAAAAAAGCACGTCGACACACCTTTTCCGACTGCCTAGACGAAACACTACTCTTAGCAGAACAAATGATTAGGGCTGGTTTTTTCAAGTGCAGTGTTGGGGATCGTGTTATTTGTTTATATTGTAATCTCATTTGTCAAAAATGGAAAGTTGATATAGATGATCCGGTTGAAGTTCACAAAATTTTGTCACCAAAATGTCCTTATGTTTTATATGTGCTAGCCGAAGAGGAGCATTCACCAACTTTGGTTGCGAACGAATCTTCAACAGCTAATAATACTAATCAAGCGTCCACATCAAATAATACCAACCGACCTCAATCAGATCAAACTGTTCATGCATCACCATTTAATAGTAATTATGCCAGTATTCCAAGTCGGCAAGCAACTTTTACAACATGGAAACATGAATCATCACCTTCAGTTGATGACTTAGTTAACGCCGGTTTCTATTATAGTGACGTAAAAAATATGGTGCAATGTTTTTATTGCAACGGTTCATTACAAACTTTGGGCGAAAATGATAATCCACTAATTGAGCACATAAAATGTTTTCCACACTGTTCATACGCCAAGCAATTAAGCGGCGATGAGCTTTATAACAAAGTTCAAATTGCCAACAGCATTCAACGAGGTTGTATAAGTTTTTCCTACGAAAACATTAGAATAAATAAGAATTTTCATTAATAGAACCGGGGAAATCTCAACTATCGACAAACACAACATCAGAGCCATTGAATACACATCGTCAAAAACTGCAAGTAATGGATGAACAACTACTATCACGTCTAGTTGCAGCTCGATTGGATTTGCCGATATCACAAAGACTACTGGATCGAAATTTTAAGTTATCAATCATAAAACGTTGTTGGGAAGACCAACTCCGATTGAAGCGTAAGTCAATGAAAATAGAAAACTAGTTGCATTCTTGACTAACTTTACTTGTCTATATTTATATATTTACATAGGCGATGATTTTGTAAACGAATATGATCTATTCATCGCCTGCACCATTCTTCAAAAACAAGTTGAACATATTAACGGAAATAAAGATAATATTATTGTGCCAAGTATTAAAATGCAATCAATTATTGAAGAAGGAAGATCTGGTTTGTATATTTTAAATTAAAAAAAATATATTCATATACATTGGAATATTTCATTAATAGATACATTAATTCAAGAGCAACCTGCCCCAAGTGTAACTGAAATGGCATCAACAAACAATTCAGTAGCGAAAGCGAATGATGTAATACAAACAGCGTCATCGGTGGCCGAGTCGAAGATTGTGTCAACCACACATGCACAGAATAAACCCAAAGAAATCGTATCAGAAACGAAATTATCAGTAAACAACCCGTGTATTTTATGTCGGAAAGAGGAGAAACGGCTTGCTTGTATCCCTTGCGGTCATTTAGCAGCTTGTGTCGATTGTAGTAAAACTATTCGCACATGTCCCATATGCCGTAAGTGTATCGAAGCTTTTGTTCGTGTATATATTTAAAAGGTATACATAATTAAATTAATGACTTTTATAACACGATACATTACTTATTCTTTTGTCTCATATTTTCGTGTCATTTTTTTATCTAACTTGATTTAAACAGATTATGATAGTTTGGATTATTAATAGGACATAAAAGACTACAATACATTTTAATTGGCTGTTGAAATAATGAACTTATTTTTTATTTTTTAATCAAGAATTTCTTTCATTGTACAGATTTTATATAATTTATAAAGCTCATATTGTCTTTTTTTTTTAAAAAAAGATATACTTATAAAAACTGTAACGATATGAGTTTTAATACTCTATTCTTTACTGTTTGCTACTCTTTTAACTCATCATACATGCTGCTGTATCAGAGTAATTTGGTTGGAACGCGTTGCTTACCACATTTGTAAAATATTATGTGTCAGAAGTTACTAGATGTTTGAGGAATGGTTTACAATAAAAATTAAAGTGAAAAAAATCAGCTGTTAATCAGTCATAATTTTACTAGACTAACAATGAGATTTGTCACTGAAAATTTAGTGAATGTACAGACACACTTGATCGTATGCATAAAAGTTTGAAAATATACGTACGGATGTGTATCGTTATCAATGAATCACTTATTGTAAATATCTAGGAAACTTTCCTTGACATTAGGGGTTTGAAAATCATCAAAATAAATAATCATTGGGGTGCTATCATTTTATCAATTGATATGATAGGAACGCATATTGAAGCAATAATAGAATGTATATAGTTGAACTAGTTTTAAGAAAAAGTAATAGATTAGAGTAGCTTGGAAATCAAATGAATACTCCTACAGAAACTAGAAAACAATTCAAATTGCTTTAAAAGGTTGAATTTGTCTTAATATGTAGGTGTCTTTCTTTTTCCACTTTCTATCGTATCGAATACATATTATTTATATATTTTTGATGTTTTTGTTTTCATTGTGTACGATAACATTGTTAGAGTCCTTGTACTTATGAAATATTCTGTATACTATAGCGACAAAAATATTCTATGTATGAGTCATTGTTAAATAGTGGAGAATGGTAAAAATAACGCCTTTCAATGCTGTCTTTGTGTAATAAAAATGCGCCATGACAAAATTGCAAAATTACAGTTTTGTTTTCATTTTATATATGGTTGTATTTTGTTTTCATATAACTTCAGAAAATGTCTGAATTTGAAGGTTATGGTAAGATAGGTGAAAGCAGTAGTAATTGGGTATTAGAAAAGTCTGACAATACAATATTCAAACGAACATTATGGTGTGTAACAGAGAAAGTACATGGAGCCAATTTTTGTTTTCTATGTGATAATAATGGCCAACGTGTTCGATGTGGAAAACGAACAAGTCTATTGTCGGATACAGATGATTTTTTTGGTTATAAACGTCGTTTATTGAATGAAATTATTCCAAAAATTCAACAGTTGTACATGTTCGTCAAAAATAAATTCACTAATTTAGATAAATTATATGTATTTGGTGAATTATTTGGTGGTTCTTATCCACATTCCGATGTAACAAAAGTACCCAATGTGAATGCAATTCAAACGGGCATTTGGTATTGCCCTGATGTTGAATTTTATGCATTCGATTTAGCGATTACTATTGATAATGAAAAACAAACTTATCTTGATTATGAATTCGCAATACTTGCTTTTCAACATGTGAATTTATTTTATGCCGAACCATTATTCATTGGTAAATATGAAGAAGCTCTTGATTTTAAACTCGGTTTCAATTCTGTTATACCCACCAGACTTGGTCTACCACCACTTAATGAAGAAAATAAGGCTGAAGGTATAGTCATTAAACCGATGCATGAAATTATGATTAAAACAAATAAAGGTTCTGTCACACGTGCTATTGTAAAAAAAAAGATTGACGAATTTTCTGAAGATAAATATAGTCAAGCGCAAAAACACGAGTTTAAAAGCGATGACGGATTTTCAAATGTTGACCTATTAAGATTTGAAATTGATGCGTTAATTACTGATAATCGTTTGAATAACGCACTTAGTAAAATTGGACACGTCACCAGAAATGATAAAGAAAAATTAAAGGAATTATTAAATCTTTATATAAAAGATGTTATCGATCAATTAATGGAAAATGGAAATGAAGAGATGTGGAATAATCTATCGTCAAATGATCGAAATTTATTGGCAGAAGAATTAAATTTCAATGCGAAACAAGTTATTTTAAACTATTTAAAATTAAATAAATGTTAAATTTCGTTAAAATTTAGCAAATTTTCATGCCTAGAAATAGTTGACATATTGATGAACGTAATATAGTGAAAGATAACAAAAAATTGTTGAAAACCAAATGTATCGACCTTGTCTAAATGAATAAAGTAGACATTTATTGAAAGACAATAATGGTCACCATGCTGATATAATATATTCGATGGAGAGCATTGTTTTCTTAATACTTTATTCAACAATATCTGAAGTGAAACTGTTCAATTGCAAATCATCAAACATATATACTCTTCAGTCATGTTTTGGTCTGCATTTGTCAAAGTGTAATAGCTGTATGGATAGTTAAGTTTGCTTCAATTATAGACTGTTCTTTTATTTGTGCAGAAACGATTGGTGCAGTTTGAAAAACATAAAACCATAATTCGTTTTGATTTGCAACCACATAAAAAACAGGAATCGATACAATCATGATGAATATCGCAGTAATCAAACATGTGAGACCAGAGATGATTAAAAGAATAATACCTCGTTTTATCATATCCTTAGCATTTTTAATCGCTAACCAGATAGGAAAGAATAGAAGAGTTATACCAACAGTAATTGATGATGTTACTTGTCGTAATGGAAAACTTATATCAATACTATCACTATTATACGAGAGTATTCCAGCTATAATCGAGATCATGGCCGATACAATAATACCCAATAATGTTTCAATGCGAACACTTCGAGATACACATGATAACGGGCGGCCCATGAAAAATGGCGGTCTCATTATTTACTCAATATCTTTTTTGCTCTTCATTGATTTGAACTGAACATTTTCCCAAAAGATTCAGCATTCAATTCTCTACAAACTCATGTGTAAAAGATTTTTTAAAACTACAAAACGGCTAAGTACTAAAACGAAGAAAAAAGGTTAAAAAATCTTCAACTTTCAAGCTCAACATACATTAACNATGTTAATGTATGTTGAGCTTGAAAGTTGAAGATTTTTTAACCTTTTTTCTTCGTTTTAGTACTTAGCCGTTTTGTAGTTTTAAAAAATCTTTTACACATGAGTTTGTAGAGAATTGAATGCTGAATCTTTTGGGAAAATGTTCAGTTCAAATCAATGAAGAGCAAAAAAGATATTGAGTAAATAATGAGACCGCCATTTTTCATGGGCCACCCGTTAGATTACAACGTACTTGAATAAGAAAATCATAATTACATATAATGATCACACGCTGACCGGCAGCAAGGAAGCCTGCCATGATTGTATAGATGAGTATTGAATTCAGTGTACTACTAGAAAGTACTGCTCGTAATATGAACTGCAGAAACATAGCAACATGTGACATAAGAATAAGAACACTGATCCGCCGAGGTTGAAAATGTGACTGAATAGATTGAACGATCCATATGATAAGAGATAAGCCAATAACAAAAGCAATAATACCAGCCGCTATTTTGCTTGGTTCATACTCTAGGTATGGGTAGTTTGTTAAATTGACCATAATGTTTTTCGCAACAGTTTAGAAAATGTCTATTCTAAAAAACCTAGAGGAACGGTAGAGTAAAATCAAATCTTATGAAACTGTTAATTTTCTTTTTCTCAAATCTTCTTTATTGTCAAACTCTATGATTTGTTGAGATGTGATTTTATAAATGCCGTATTAATCATTCAAATCTCTTCAAAGCTTTTATCCTTTTCAAAAGTAACAGAATGTGGTTTGTTCCCATATGCTCTCTACAACTATCCTATTATTCTTCAATTTTGTTCTTCTTCCATTTCTATTTTTCCTTCATTCTTCCAATCGTCGAAATGCAAATTTTAAGCAAATAAAGTCGTCTATCTTATCGTTTTAGTTCATCAGCATTATACACGAAAGAAAAAATAGTATGCAGACGTGTCAATAAAACCTTTCTCTCTCAGCCATCGAAAAATGAACTCTACATGCACTTGCTAAGTCAAGTACACAACAAAATGAGCGTACATTCTACGTGATACCAGAAATAATTATGATTGTATGAGCAACGTATTGCATTTAGAACTTGAAAAGCACTTATTATTAAAATATGCCGATGCACATTTTTCTGCCAAAGAAAATCTAAATTTTTAGATCCAAGGAATAAATCGAAAGGGAAGTTAAGATTTTCTAACTGTTGCATTCTTTCATTTTTATAGAATAATAATTTAGCGAACTATACCTGTAAAAAGCTTAATACTCAATAATCTGAAGGAAACAGCTTTGCAATCAATCTACAATTGTTGATCACAAATAAAAATACATATAAGAAAAGTTTTCGAAGCTGGTTAGCTAGTTTTTTTATGATCATCAAGAAAACAAAGAATATTGTGACGGCTGTCGTTTCTTTTGGTTTCATATTGAGTGACATAATTATTTGATAGGACTTTTGTGTCACCACTAGGCTTATTTTCTTTTCTTTTTATTCCGTCATCGTCATATGTAAAAGTAGAAGTTCAAAAGGTGAGTTTGAAAAGAAAAATTATGTTTATGGCAGTTGTCATCGTATCTAAGATAAAAAGCAGAACAAATTATCTTCATTATGTCACACTAAGTTATTAATTCTCAAGGCAATTCACTCGCTACTAAAGTTGACATCCTAGAAAAGTGACATGCTGAATTACTTTATCCTTTATATTTGAGGATAATGTAAAACTATTCAAAATGAGACCTGTGTCATCCACTAACAATAGAGAGATCCAAACTTATTAGAATTTCTTTCTTATTGCGAATTCAAAAATATAATCTGTGTGATCCAAATGAATACTAATGTGAAGTTTCATATCCTAAATATCACTTATAAACAAGATATAAAAACTCATATGATAGAGAATATTTTTTTAAGGAAACATGTCAGCTAAAAATCTCAAAACTAGTCTATCAAACTGATGGCATAGTCTACCATTCATGTCACATTGGAATTCAATACTAAAAGCATTCCCTACAAAATTACATCAGTAATGTATCTCTCTTGTCATAAAACAAAGAATTATACCAGATTGTGGCAAGTGAAAAACAAAATAAGTATCTCAGTTCGGTTCATTGGTTCAATGAAAGCAAGAATAAGTTATAGCGAGTCATAGAAATTTGATAAAATTCTCGCACCTGGTGGTTGTTGCCTGAGTGATATGAATTTAATTTAATCAATTGAACAAATGACATTTCAATAGTTTGTTCGATTTCAAGATATTTAAAAATATCTCTTTTATTTTATGTCATGTTTCCCGAACTTTTAAGTGTCAATAGGCCGCACGGATTTCGTTGAAGAGAAGAACTTGTCGATGCGCAAATTCTTACCTCATATAGTCATCGATTAATAGAAATTTTTGTACTTTTGCCTCGTAGTCAGAAATATCAACCATTCCTTTATTTAAACACGTTTTATCCTATTTGATCTTCTAAATTTTGTTATTAAACTTTATTTACATTTCACTCGTCTTTCAACATTAACAAGACGCAACAGTTAATATTATCATAGAATTTTCTTGTTCTGCAAGTTTTTAAATCGCCACGTTAATAGATCAGTTTACTCTCTATTTCTGAGGAACAACTTTGCATATTTATTTTCAATGCTATGCTATCTTTGAAGCATAAATAATAGACAAGTTAAGTCTTTTTTTTTCTTTTTCGACGAAATCCAATGGCGAGAGCTTATTGATATTCACTGTCACATTATACACAACGAATACTGCATCAATTATCACAGCAACAAAACAAGAAAGTACAGCTCGATATACACAAATAACATTTACAAGTTCATTCACATACACATTTGTACGTGCATTTGCATCGAAAAGACTGGCAAGCACCTGCATTCACATTGATCCTTACTGATCGTGTCCAAGGAAGTGCATATCCTAGAGACGAACCTATCTGATTTGCGTTAATGAGTTTTGCACATCCGTCACGTCACTGGCTTAAATGCAATCAGTCGATCAGGAAGTGATACTACAAAAGCAAGTAAATATGTTATTAATACTTTTGATGAAAATGACTAGTTGTTTTGATACATACCCTTGGTTTTTCCCGTTCTGTTTTTTTCTCTTTCTTTAAAATGAAATGTTGTGCGTAACAAATGTGAATAGTTAGTTCCGGTGTATTTTTTCATTTTGTCTTCACCTTGACTGTTGATAGAGAGCATCATTTACTTGTTTACTACGAAATGAAAAACTACATGGGACCTAAAATGTCTCGACGACGTTTTACGCATTCTTATACAAGTTCAAACAATTCTCTTTGTCGAGTTGACAGAATACAACCAAAACTAATTAAAGAAGCGCGATTGCCATCTTTTGTGGATCTTAGTCCATGGATGGGTCCTGTTAAGAATCAAAGAGATATGAACACTTGGTAAATTATATTTGCCATCATATTATATTGATGTTATTCGAGACATTTCTCTATCTCTAGTGTCGCTATTGCTTTTACAGCTGCTTGTGAATATATGATCAACAGACATACTGGTAAATATATTGATCTATCATGTTTATTCATTAATTATAACGGTCGGTTAGTTAGCTCAATTGCATTGGCCTCTCTTGATATAGGTTCCTCTGTAAAAGATACCGCTATAGGACTAACACAATTTGGTATATGTGAAGAAGCAATATGGAGATGTAAAAGACACAATCTTAATAGGAGACCTTCAGGTGAAGCATACGCCAGAGCAAGTCAATTTGCTGTGACCGTACGCAGAGTTCCGCCAATATTGGCAGATATGAAAATTTGTTTAGCTAAAGGAATACCTTTTGTTGTTAGTATTATATTGTTAGAATCAGCAATGTACGAAGGACAAGAAAGAAATGGTTATATATCTATGCCAGATTCAAACGACACAGGAGTGAGGAACGCAGAATTAGGACATGCTGTACTTGTTGTTGGATACAATGATGAAACACAACATTTTTTGATACGAAATTCTTGGGGACCACACTGGGTAAGAAAAACGTCAAAAGCTCTTCGTTTCGAATAATATTAGATTCATTTTAGGCATTCGATGGTTACTGTTTTATTCCCTATGAATATTTGTTAAATCCTGATCTGTTTCTTGTAGCGCAAGGATTTTGGGCAGTTGAAAAAATTTCACCACGTCATAGATATCCTCGACCAATAGGCAAAAATATTTTGAATGACTTCAAAGGACCATTGAACAATTATCGATATGGACCCTCTATTGACCAAGCAACACATCGGCTGAGACCTAGTTTTACAAGGGGAAGTCCTCATCGTACTTTTATATTTTAAGTTTTAACTAGTCCATTCATAATTTGAAATAATTCAGGCTTTTATAAATAAAATCTCGCTGATTTTTATCGACTTTGCTAAAACAAAACGCACTATTAACCGGTTAATTAATAGCCTAAGAGAACTTCGACAAGTGTATGTATTTTGGGTTTCTATTAAATAGAATATTTGCTAGAAATATGTACTAACTCTATATGAAAATGGCAATCGTCTGTATCTTCACCTTAGAAATATCTTATCTAGAATTGATTCACAAGAAAATCTTGTTTAGCAGTAACCGTCAGAGATAAAGATGTAATTTAAAACAAGCCAGACCATATTGAATTCTGCTAGACAATTGAAAATATTGTTTTTGAAATCTGTCAAAATCATTTATTCATGTAAACAGTTATTATATAGAGTAACAACTTTTGTTCTAATTTTTCAGAATGGTTACAGTAAGTGTGAATGTTCAATTTAACATCTCACATCTATACTTTTGAACAGCACACTTAAAGCCAAGTATTCCATACAATTATTATTTTTCATTTGAAATATGACTATATTTTCCATCTTGTCCGTGATGTAGATCGGTCTATTTAGACTTTATTTTTATAGATTTAGAGGAATGTTCACATTTCAGTAGTACTAATCCATGAGGCTCTGTTTGATTTTGACTATGACAAAGAAAAAAAAGGAAACTCTAGGCAATAATATGACCAAGCTATTTTTAATCTCCGTATATACAAAGAAAAGCAAGTGACAAGAGCATAAAAATATTCGCAATTTGTATTAATATGTGATTGATTAAACATATTTAAGGTAATTTTTGTAAAATTTTGCTGGTAGACCTTACCTTTTTGTATTTATCGGCATAAATATCTAATTGCTTTTCTTTCCAACAAAACCAATCAATCACATCAACTAGCGTATTTTATGTAGGAAGAACGATAAGAAAATAAGGGAAAAGATTAATATGTAGCATTCATTTTATTTTCAAGGGCTTGTTTTTTATGCATGGGTATTAAAATCGGATGCACACCAAAGCTATAGGTAATATGTAATATTTATTGTTCATGCAGTTTTTACAAAGAATTTGATTTCCGATTTTGCACTTGTTTACTCACAAAAATAATTTCAGTTACTTTGCTTTTCTACGATACGTAAGAGAACACATATGTGGCTCATAAAAGCGGTGTTGCACTATATGGCATATCTTTAAATTAAAGAAATCTCTATCAAATTTACTATTTCGTTACAAAAGAGAATAATGAAAGCCAGACATTGTGTTCACTGAATAGCAATTATGCTACATATGACTATTGGTTAACTATCAATTAATGTAGCTCTGAACTCTATCATGTTCTTGACTAAAAAAAACGCAATTCTACATAGACTTATCCGATGATATAAATCACATGCTATTGTCAGCAATTTTCAATTCGAGAATTTTAGCTGGCAGGCATGACATCGATTATGTAAATGAGATTTAGTGAATTGTTAATGTTGTTTTTCTCTTGTTCGCCGTTAGCAGAGAAATTCATTCCAGCATACCAGTGCCATTTTTCAAAAGTAACTGACAAGAAAGAGTAACAAAACGAGTGCACAATATATTGGGGCATTTTTGTGAAGAAACACAGAGCCATGGCCAATAATTGGGTAAAAACTCCTACATCAAATTTGACCAATTGGCAGATCTTTACGAACAACGGGAATTTCAATAGTCCATTGGCTCCTAGTCAGCGACTCACTAACCGATGTGTATTCCATACTATTGGCTCAGATGTCGACGATATTCGTCACCATTGTCGATCAGCTAGAAGTCGAAGTGAGAAATAATTAAACAGTACTAATGATATTCTATGCCAGGATACTACTTAGGTCAATCGGCATTTGACACAAGCATCGTGCGAGTACGAAGTGCTCGATATGTTACATACAATGGCTTGCCACAAAGTCAACCAGGATCACTTAATGAAAGTCGAAACACTTGATACACAAAACTCTCTCAATAACATAAATCATATTTCGACCGTCAGAGGTTTTTGAGTAACGCGAACGATGTAAAAATTATGCATGTCCAATAGTTTACTCAATAAATATTCCTAGCACAAGATGCAGCACTTATATCACCTTGAAATGCATGAGATCATAGGAACCTAATGTTTCAGAAATATCTACAAATTAAATGCACTGGTAATATGAATATAATGTATCTTGTAGTTTGGTAACAAATGGGGTAGAACATACCTAACTGATAGTTCTGAAAAAGTGATCAAGAAACCTCCTTCAAGATGAACGATGAGAGTATTTTCTTCCCTTTGAGAAGTTTGTTGCACACAAAAAAATAGCACTAATACAAACGTTAACATATCCACAATCGATTGCCGCACTTATGATTGCTCATTTTCAACTATGAGTGGTCCTAATAAAAACCATTGTAGAAAAACAATTTCAAATCCATACATAAAATTGAACCAGACTTGCAGTTTATCTCTAGTCCATTTTTAACCATCAGGGGATTCTCATCATTGCATTACTATAATAGATGCAGTACTGGACGTAGTTTTAAAGTTAAAGTTAATAATCATGCGCAACGCTGCTTAGAAAACAATATTTTACAAGTTTATGGAGAGGTGCATGTTAAATATTAGCCAATCAAATGAGCTTATTAAAAAAACACGTGTTAACATATGCGATTTTTAATTTAATAAAAGTAGATTTGATTATTCGAAAAGAAAAAAGAATAATTTTAGACGTTCATAATTGTACAAGTGTTTTTATTCAAACATGCAAATCGTGCGCTCACCATTTTCTCAACGAGCATCAAAGATGCAAATTGTAGAACTAATAGTTTGAAATAAATCAAGTTTACTGATAACACTGATTTGCCTATGTCTTAATTGTTTGAGTGGGATGGTATTGTGGCTGTCTATCTAGCTTTCACTATACCTGTAAGATGAAAATGCCAAAGCCTTTTGTTCGCATTAATGTCAATATTATGTTATATGTGTAATTTCACCTTGTACATTAGTAGAGGCGACGCCATCATGTATGCCTACTTTTAATCATTTAACAATACAAGAATGAAAAAGGAGACAAAGCCCAGGTGGATTGAACTGTTTTTGTTAGTATTTATACAGTTTTCGAATTATTAAGATTTATTTACCATCGAATACATATATCTAAATATCTATATTGCAATTATCAACAAATAATACTCCATGCCTTCAATAAACATGTGTGTTGTTGCTACTTTCATACTTGTTATGATCACTGCTAGTATTATTCCATACAGTTCGGCTCTATCGATCAGTCGAAATGATTATCTAAATCAACTTTTATAATGAGATTTTCCCGATGAAAATATTGAATTGAAATTATTGCCTAATGCAGCTAAATTCAGCCCTGGCTCATTTCGATGACCATGAACTTCGGGATGGTTTTAGAGCGATATCAAGTAGATCACATATAACAAGTGCAGCATTGATTTCTACAGTCATTCATCATTCGTAACTAACAACAGTCCAATAGGTTCAAAAAACAATATTTTTCTGTATTGCTGAAAAAAAAGATTATTCAATTAAGAATATCGATTATTTGTTTTCAATAAATTTCATAGCAAGTATTTTTCTGAACAAAATTAAGAAAATCATCTTCAACTTTCCATCTTAAAAGAGTCGTAGGAGGATATGAAGATTTTCACGGTAAACACTATCAGTTGTGTATTTCATTTCAACGTCGACAACATGATGAAATATATTCAAATAAATAGTATTCTACCCATCGAAAGGGAAAGTCTAAGAATTATAAAATGAAATTTATACATGATTATTTTGAAACAAATGCATATGTAACTACTTTACTACTGAGTACCTATTGTTTGTATTTATAAAGTCGGCAGTCTATAAGAGAGAAAAAAGAATCCTTCTTGCAATGGAAAACCGTAAATTTGACTCAATCAAACATATGTGTAAATGAGGTGTAGGAGGCAGATAAAATATTGAACTAAGAGCACATAGCAGAACAACTTAGAGAATTCTCTATTCTAACTAGAAGCTTAAATCTATCCGCTAGTCCATGTGAACCGTTGATTCGTAGATTTCTTAATAATTTAGAAGTATAATTCATTTTATAACTGCGCTGGATAAAAAGAGAACATGAATCATACTTTATTTTCTTTTCTGTCTCAATTTTGATGCAATTACATTTGCGTTCCTATTTCTTTTTTGTTTTCTACTATTGCATCCACGTGTACGAAATAAAATGGGATGTGTTTTGAATGCCCAAACCAATGCCTACTTACCAACGGAGCTTCGTTCTTTGACAAACGATTACGAAACCGAATATTATTATTTTAATTATGAAACGAATACGTTAAATTGTAAATTAGTAACGACAAATTTATATCATTCATATTTCAAACAGTTATACCCATCTACCATCAATGAACACGAACTAAATGATGATATGTTAGATGCTTTACGATCTTATACAGACAGCAAAACAAATGAATGTTTTATGAAAACGAATTTAAATTTATTAAGTGCTAATTCAAATGATATCGATTGGATTTATGTTAATCGATTACGTTCATTAATACGAGGTTTAGTTCAATCAAATATTAAACATATTTATTATCGAGGTTTAACATTGAGCGATACAGAAGTTCAATATTATCTCGATAAAAGAAATCAATACTATTATACTAATTCTTTTACATCCTTTACAATCGATCGTTTACTTGTCTATTCTGGTAATGCTATATTAATGTTAAGAACCGATACGTGTAATGAAAAGGCTAAAATTAATCTAGCGAATATATGGAAATGGAGTACATTTACTGATGAAAAAGAAGCCCTGTTAGCTGTCGGGACTAAATTGAAAATTTTGAGTGTACATTATTTTGGTTGTAAATGGGAAATTGAAGTTGAATTAGCAGAAGACGATATAGAGCAGAATGAAGATCAAATTTGAATATTTAACTTTTTTTAAATTTCTTTGTGGTTCATTAAAATGTGAAAAGCAATAGTTTTACATTGTAAGAGACGGTGACAATAGCAAGGGTTGGGATATTTGATTTTTTAATCGTAAAGAAATGATTGTGTGATGTTTTGAAATATGATGCTCCTCAATTCAAAGCTTCATAGAACTCTTTGAAGTACTTCTATCATTTGTTATTCGATATAAATTTGACTATACACGAAATCAGCAGCGATAACTGCGAATGATACGATACGATAAGTACTGTTATGTTTTAGGAAAGTTATAAATTATCAGGAACTGATAGGCCCATAAGGTGACTGTCCATTCTACCGTGACATTCATACCCTCTAATATTACCTATAGACCCTTGTGTCCCATGTTTGTTTCGAATTATTTTATAACTCAAATATGTCGTTCAGCTGGGACGAATGCGTCATAAGACGATAGTCTAAGAATAAGTTTAATGAGAATTGTAAGATTTTGTGATTTTGGAGAAAATTTATTATTCATAACTGCCAAGTCTTATGATTAAACGTGCATTGAAGTCCATTAGAGATAGCATTAGTTTCATTTGAAGAGTTTTCTAATAGAAAAAATTCATAAAAATCTTCTAAACTTAGATCAATCATGTGAAAGTTTCTTCTCAATCATCAACGGATCGATTCGTTTGTACATTTAATAGGTTCTTATTGAATAACCTCCATTTTATTAAAAAGGTGTTCTCTCATCTGATCTGATTATCTGTATCCAAAATATGATGCGTTAAGAAAGAACGCACCAGTGATGGGATCGGCTCGTATTTTTTCGAACCGAACCGAATCAAACCGAAACAGTTTAAAACCGAACTGAATAAAATTCAAATGTCTTAAATATCTCAGTAACATCAAAATATTATTAGAGTATTTGCTTTTCTCTTAAAATGCTATTTTGTGTACACATCATATATTTTATAGTGTCTATCTGATCCTACATCATAACACGTTCAGTTAAATCAAAAGAACTATCAAAGATCAATTCACAGATTATTTCTATTAGTCAAATGAGTTATTTGGTTATGCTTGTTCGATGAATACCTTTCGCTACCGCCAATATATTCATGTAGGAGCTACGTAGGTATTATTTTTAACAGTTGCAAACTGAAATTCTATTATAGATAAGCTCATAATCTCCAAAGATCATGATATGATTGGTTTCCATTAATCAATTGATTATGGTATATGCAGGTCTATGTTGTGCGATTATAGGGCTCGTTGGTAATGCCATGCAAATATTTATTTTAATGGCAGTGTCCTATTACCGGAAAACTCCATGCACATTCTATTTTGTTATTTCTGCTTTGCATGAATGTGGTCAGTTTATGACAGCTCTTGCTTCGCTTGTCATCGGTGCATATCTCGAGATTGACATGCAATCTGTATCAGTCGTCTGGTGTAAGCTTCGCTATTTTTATCTTGTAGTTTTGGCGCCATTCCTCTGATTTGTGCATGTTTGACTACTATTGATCAGTTTCTAATCACATCTCGAAAAGTTCAACTTCGTCAATATAGTAATATGAAAAATCCACATCGAACTATCACCAATGACAAGCGCTTGTATTTATATAAATTTTGTGTTTCAAGCTTATGCTATATTTTTCATCTGCGTCATCGTTTCTGGTGCGCATATTTTAATTATGATGATATTTGGGATTTTAGTTTATCAAAACATTGGGAAAAGAACTTTTCTTGCACGTCTTCATGACGACAGACAAATGACTGCTATAGCTTTTATTCAAATTTTTCTCACCTTAATTGGTTTTATTTCATATGGTATTTTTACTGCTTATATGGTTACTACAATAAACGTTGAAAAGAGTGCTAATCGAAAAATTAAGGAAGCTTTACCTTCCACTATCACGTATCTTTTGGGTGCACTCACTTCTGGAGTAAGTAAGGATTTTTTTTTTGAACAAGATTATTCATATTTTTGTCATACAATTTGTCGGGACGATTCTATCTTTTTTAATATTCATCAGCTCGTTTTCGTCGTACAGTGAAGAATTGAATATTATGGTGGCGACGAACAACACGGGTCGATCTTCTCAGACGATGATTTCAATATTATCCATAATTTTCATCTATTCGAAGAAAATAGTCAATTTTTCACAAATAAATCATCAAAGAACAAATAATACTAGTGTTGTTGTGTTCAAATTATCTTGGTTTAGCTACTGCATTATCAGTTGTCTAAGAATGGAATACAAATATCATCTAATGATGCATAGTAATGTCTCGATTTTAATGCAAAATTTTAAGAATTCTTTTTAGCTAAACCATGAGCGTATTGCGGATTCATAATTTTTATGTTATTGTCAGCTTCCTGCTTTCGTAATCAAAAAATCTGTTGATCTTTTAATGATAAAATGAATACGACTCTCATCGTCTAAAAAATGCAGAATAAAGCTAATACTTCTCTTCAATCATGAATAAACAAAGTAAAAAACGCACATTATATTTCGTCTCTTATTATAGAGTAAGTACTATTTTTTAGAGACTTGTATAGTAGTTGATTGAAGAATAGGAATCTATATATTGATAAGTAAGAAAACAAACAATGAACGAAAATGAAAAGCATATAATTCGCCTGGATTATCTAAATGAGTTATAATCAGCAGATCAACATATTTCATGCTTCGTCAAATAGTTCAGCTTTGTTTTACTTGAAGAGAATCGAGTTTTTCATTGAAATATTACTGTCATTGTTTGATTTGCACTGCCACATGTAGTCCCATTAATACCACCCCAATTCTGGTTTCCGATGCAAGGACGTACTGTATAACCAGTAGCACAACTGCATACAGTGCCTGTCGCCGTAAGCTCATAACTATTACTACCAGAAGTTCCACATAGTCCGACAGCCCACGAATAACCATTTGATGATACAGGACCGTATGAAGTATTTGTGTAAAGGGCATTTGCTATGGCAGTAACAAGCGTTGCATTTGTAAGTGCTATACCTGTTGAATTAGTTGATCCTTTCATTGTTAGTGACGTGTAAGATTGAGGGACAAGTAGATTGAGAAATGTGACCCAAGCCGTACATTGAGATGATGAAGAGACACTGTTGATGAAACTTTTAGTGTAGATAATCATGCTAGCTAGAAGGAAAAAAGTCAAATAATATGGTTGTAGAATTTTAATTAAGGGTACAGGCTACTTATTTCTTTGGCACTTGCGAAACTTGATTTTATAAACATGTTATTACAAAAGCAAACATAGGAAGACCATTCGAATATACAGTACAAAAATATTCTATCAAGTATCATGAGCCTTCATACTTGTCTCAACTTAATATATACTTTCGATCACTGTCATCGGCAACTGCGATCGCATATTTCAGGTTTCGATTCATTTTCATTTTTTTAGAAAGAATCTATTGAAAACGTTGAAAGAAAATAGAATGAAACGTTTTCTTCGCCAAGTCGATAAATGTTTACGGCGCAACGTTTACTTGCAGTAGTTGAGTGAGCAGCATTAATCTGGCACATTCATCTGATTTTCGAAAAATGAAGAGAGGAATGCGATACGTTTTCAATCTGCGAGTACAATTATAATGTTTACATGAATACGAAATAGTAAATGCTGCTCTAATGCACGATGAAAGTGCTTGAGAAAAACATCTAATAAAATTAAGCACTCACGCGTTGTTGTTGTTGTAGTCGAAGATAAATAGAAACGACTTATATTTAATTGAATAATAAAAATATTGGAATGAGCAATAATCAAATTTAGCAATAATGATACTGAATGGAAAATAATTAAATCAAATTAGAGATACATTGTATTAAAAAGGGTAGTATGGATTGATCTTTTTACACAAATAGATATTTTTTTCAATTTTATGAAATAGAATATATAGTTGATACAAATCGTTCAATCATAATGCTTAGCATAATATATGTCTGATTGTGAAGAGGGCAGTGATATGAAACCGGATTCTTCTAATAACAGCGAATAGATTAAAAAAAGGCAAAAACCGGAAACAGACAAAAGTGCGGTTGGGTGCAGGTCTGAAGATTTTACTAATAGAATATCGATTGACAGAAAGATTTGATCCATATAATAATAATTTGTCAATTTTTTTGAATTTTTGTTCATTTATCCAAAAATTTTTAACCCGTCGGATACATGTTCGGATCCGGGTTCATACATTTTTGGACCAGATGCGCTCTAGTGTGGGGTGCAGTTTGGGAGACCGGAATTTCGGCCCGGTTCGAAATTCCGTAGATTTTTCGGGCCGGGCCGAAAGTCCGAAAGGAATTTCGGACCAATTTTATACAAATTCATTAAACTCGGAGAAAAAACGAATTTTTTTGAAAATTGGTTTCTAGATATTTTTAGTACCGAGCGAAGCGTCATAGTGCCGAGCGAAGCGTCGTAGTGCCGAGCGAAGTAATATAGTGTTAAAAACAACACTTCTATTATTATAGAACATAGTATGGTGTTTTAAGATACATATCGTNAGTGTTAAAAACAGCACTTCTATTATTATAGAACATAGTATGGCGTTTTAAGATACATATCGTTTATCCACAACAAGCACGAACGAATCTAGTGTAATCTCAATATTGGCTTAAGGATGCACATTTTTTAGTTTTATTTTAGATGTAGAATTCACTATTGCTGGTATATTTTTCGAAATTTGTTGAGATGTAAATTAGGTATAAATTCGGTTTTTTTATTTCAACTAGTTTTTCTTCTATGGAATGAAAAACGCCGCTTCGCTCAGCACTATGACGCTTCGCTCGGCACTACGTCGCTTCGCTCGGTACTAAAAAAAATCTAGAAAGCAATTTTCAAAAAAATTCGTTCTTTCTCCGAGTTTAATGAATTTGTATAAAATTGGTCCGAAAGTCCGGCCCGAAAATTCCGTGGGACGAAATTCATGTAACCCTGTAGCTTCTCTTAACTCAGATCCACCCCTAGCAGAGGCAAAACATGTGGAAATCAGCTCTAAAAGAAAAAGAGGCTGACCATCAAAAGCAAAAAAAGGCTTCATTGACAATGATTTATTTCATTATCTAGTATTTTTATTGCTCAAAAATTATTGCTAAATCGTACTTTAATTATGTCTCATTCCAATATTTTTATTGTTCAAATAAATGCAAGCCAATAGAAATGTATTGTATTTAAGTGTAGCGAATAAAATTTTTAAATATTCTCTCTAAATATTAGTATTCTATATTTCGATGAAATTATGTCTAGACATACTATATTTACTAGTGACATTAGTCTCCATTTAATCCATATTATTCCCTACTGTATGGGAAAATAAAACAATATTAGTGCGGGCAGATTCCCTCTTTTTTTTGTTTGGTGAAACTATTTTTTACTCATTGATTCGACAAGAAACAAAATATCATCTAATATTACCCACTCAAAGGTAATAAACCATAGTGGAAGATACACAAAATATATTTGTTTATTTGATTACAATTAAAGAATCCTACAAATAAATGTAATGATTACTAGGAATTTTTCGGCTTCCCGTGCGCGTCAGCTCGATTTTAGAGAAAACATAAAAACCTGTCTCTGAATTGTTTGTTTTTTTATAATGAAAGGGTCAGACACGGAAATCAATTCTAGACTGAAAACTGAAGATCAATAAACTTTTCTTCGCCGAATATAATGTAGGATCAATACGAATAAGCTTGGACTCGCTGGCAGATGTGGTAGTTGTTGATGTTGATGCTGTTACTGTTACTGTTAATGCAGTGGAAGCTGTCGTGGGTATTTGAAATAACAGAGCAAACATGAAAGTAGTGGCTGTTGCTAATAAAACGAGCGCTAGCGATATCGATAAGAAACAAACCGATGAACATTTATAACTAGTTCGATTTCCGTGGCTAAATGAAATATTTTCAAAGTATATTATGAATTCAATACTGAAACATACGTTTTCTTTCCATCAATATTAATCTATTGTTTATACTTATTGCTTGAATCCAGTGGATTTGAGAATTCAACGATCGTACTCTGTGCTGTTTTTGAGAGTTCATTTGCTGGAAAAAATCTAGGATAATTAGAGTAGACGAATTGTAATACATAGAGCATTTGAAATCCTTTTCTCATGAATCTGACCAAACTTTCTATGATTTCAAAAATTGTCAAAGTATAGACCACATACTATTTTCTTCTTAACATCAGGTCTGACCATCAACCGCTTTCATGATCGGTCTCCTTAATATTTTTTCCAATAATAAAATATCTGTTGAAAACGACAGAGTGAAATCTTTTTCGGAATTATTTCGTCAGTATTTGCCTATCTGTGTTTATTGTGTTGATATTTATAATACTATTTTCTATACACAGTATTCACCAAAGAATAAATTAATCTATGCTGAAAGTAAAAATATTGAGCTTCCCTTTTCCATTTAAAGACAGCACATCGAGGCTTATTAGCATAATGAATGTGATTGTCGTATTCAAAAGAAATTTACTGATTATGAAATATAAGTAGAGCTACCAACCAAATTTTTCTTGATTATATTGAAATTACAAAATGATTGTGTTTTCAGTAACTAAGCACCACATGTAATGAAGTAAATTTGATTTCTCACTCAAGTAATTTAAATGTATATATAATTCTCTTCAAGTGTGGCTCTAGAACTACTGATAAAAAAATAATTTCGATATCTTAAGAAATAGGGCTAAAACTAGTACAATGACAGATCTTTCCACGAAAAACAAAGCTCTTCGAACTCTCTTTAATACTTGTGAATAATTATAAAACTCGAATGTCTAATAATAAGTAATCACTACAAGCATATCTATTAAAGTTATGAATCTCACTTTTGTTGATGCCGGATGGCTGTGGACATTTTTGTTTGTCGTACTAATAATGCTTTTTGTATCAGTTGCCGAGATGGTTGAAGTTTGATGGATCGATAGATTTTGATACTGGCGAATTGTTGGACCAGCCAATGTTTATTTCAATAAAAAGAATTAATTATAGACTATACCGTAGCTAAGATTTACTGTTTAAGGAAATTAAATTAATCCGATTAGAGAGAATATTCGAAGTCGAGTACAATTGGCATAAAACAAAAATGATTCTGTGCCTTTTAAATACTTCACAGACACTACCTATCGAATCACCTTTCAGATGGTGGTCAGCATGAATAGTTCAATACCCAACACAAAATGACTCTAATACTTAAAACTGCAAATTTACAGATATCATTCATCACAACAGTGAACACACTTTGACACTTCACTCAATGTCATGACTTTATTTTTTCTTTGAAGAGATATATTGAATGATAGATATGAGTATAATAGATTCGATGCTTTAGATAGTGATAACTACGGTTGCAATAATTGCAATTGAACAGAACAGTAAAATCTCTATACAAAAAAGGACATCGTTAACGATGTAATTCAAAAATTGATTGTTGGATTAAATTTGAATGAAAAGAATATGTTTTGCTTTGATAAACTTACTGAAGTGTCAAACATCTTCATGAGATTCTGTCGAGGAACTCGAATAACGCGGAGTGCCTACAAACAAATAATGATGTGATGCATTGAATTCCAACGTAAATTAATTTACTGGTGTAAGTTGCCGATCGCATTTTGTTTTGTTTATATATTTAAGAGTATTGATATTCATTCTTGGATTATACGATTTTAATTATCACAATTGTGGAAGGATCCAAATCTAGACTGACTATGTGCCTGATTGGCGTGGTCTATGCATACACTACTTGCGTTCATGCAAAAAACAAAGGTAGATTGTAAGTTACTTTTTGATAATTTCTCTGATTAAAAGTTCGAATGGCATCATGAGGCTTTATACTCACGGTCACAACGCACTGCTTTTTTAATTCTATTTATTTAAAAAAATCTAGGCAATATTTTCATAAAGTGAACAGTCATCTCCATTGATAATCGAATCAACAGATTGTTATGAATTAATGAAAAACAGATGATTGGATCACTTGAGAGTTGCTTTCATAACAATGGAAAATGATTCACTCTTTTCTTCTTCTTTTCATCGACGAATCAGCTATGACATTTGATTAGAATTAGTTTATTTTGGCGGTTATTGTCAAGAATCAACGAATTGAGTATCACCTAAAGAAAGTAGGAAAATAAAATTATAATATCGTACTTGAAACGGTAAATGCCAGCTTCGCCGAGGATGTGGGCGTGTGTTACCAACTCAGATGGTTGCCCAGGCAGTTGGTTACCAAGTCAGATGGGGTTAATTAATCAAGTCACTATTAAAGTAGTTAGTTAGGATAAAGTTCTATATCTAGAATGGATTAAATTTGATTCGATATTTTTCGGTCAAGATTTTTATTCGGCGAAAAAAGATTCGGCGAAGCTGTACTAATTCCTTGAAACTATTATTTATAAGGTCATCAAATTATCATAAATAAGAGAAACATTGAAGAATTTTGAATCAATTCATTCCTGAAAATCTATTAAATAGATTATGATAATGTCCTTACGTGTACATATCCATATCCATTTCGAGATGAAGAATTTTCTAAAAAGGATAATTTATTTTCAAAACTTTTAGAAAATTATAAAATTTTGCTGTATGGAAAAACAAAGAATTTTTAGTAGGCAAATTATCGACGTGAGATTCTAAAAAAATTGTGTAAATACAAGCGGATTGTAAGTTTCAATCAAAATAAAATCAGATTAGTATACACTTTCAATGAAAATGGCAATGATGAAATCAATCGTCTATATAATTTCAGTGATAAGCTAGCATGCAGCTGTATGAGTATATGCTCCAAGGTTGGTATTGAATGTAAGAGTCATATTTGGGTGTACAGAGTTGGTCTGATTGTATGAATATTGCATGAATGGACCACTATAGGAATCTAAGAAAAGAAAATATTTTAATCATAAATATAAAGATCATTTTTCATTAATTACTCTGTACACCAACCGTACAACTACTGTCACCATCGACATCGTAGAAAAATTTGAATTGAACAATACCAGGTGCAGTCTCAAAGAACTTGACACGAAACTGATAAAGTTGTGTAGGTTGACTATAATGACTCATATAATATTCAAAGGTCAATGTACGATTTGAAGCCTGACTATCAGCTTGATAATAAATTCCTTGTGAGGTGTCTGCATAAATATAGAGATCATCGCATAATAGGAAAACTGTTGTTCCATTAAAGAGACTCTTGGGTAAAGCAGTTTCAGTAAAAGCAGTCGAGCAACCTCTAAGACATAATACCTTAAAAACAGAAGAAATCTATTTCATTTTCAAAATCTGCTGAAAAAACAAGATCCGTTTTTGAAACTAGTAAATCATGTGCAAAAAATGAGCAGTTTTTTTAGCATTTTTCATATGATAAAGGCAGTTTAAAGACAGATTATTTAAAAAATACTAAAGCTTATGCATGATCGACGAGTAACTTGTATTGACATATAACTTCTAATATCTTCTAGCCTAGCAAAAACTAAATATCTTTTTGCCTAAAGCTGCACACTTACGTCAGTCGATGTCACCGTCACCTGATTTGTTGTTGTTCCACACAGAGTAATGCTGAATGGAAGACTATCAGGGTATATGATGTCATCGATTGATGCACCAGAAGATCCTGATATGCCTGTGTGCGGATTAGGCAGTTGAATAGAAGGATCTGTACTGCATACACTTGCTGAACAACTTAGATTGGTATTCGGGCAAACATGACCAACTGTACCACAATTATGAAACTCGATTATTACATTGACACATGCTTGTGACGGAGTAGGAACGTATGATGAAACGCAAACAACTGAATTAATATAGACGTTTAGTTAGTTTACTAGACTATCTCGATGATAAAGTTATCATTTAGAAATTCGTTACAAGTTCGACTCATTATTCGATAGTAAAATCACTGTCTCATAAAAAAAAATAGTGGGTACGTAGTGTTAAGAAAATTTCATGTATTCTATTAATGTTCATGTATTTAGCTCGACACATGAATTTTCCATTTGAATATGGAGAAGCAAATTTGTTAACTATGAATATTATTAGTTTGATATATCTATTAGGAATAAGCATATTAAAGTAACGAGTTGTTAGTTCTGTTTCCATTAATTAAAAGAAAAAGAAAAGACAATATAGCATTTATGCAAAGCAACATACGTGTCGTGGCTGAAATATAAATTCGAATACTGTTCGATTTTTGTCAAATTAAAAAAAGGATAACTTTACTTGTAGTAGCGGAAGTAGTAGTAGTAGTTGCTGCTAAAGTTACTCCTGTCGGTGTCTTCGTCAGTAAGACAACGGTGGCAGCTATAGCTCCGCCAAGAAGCATAAGTATGAGTGGAATCAAAAGTAAACAAGTTGGCGAACATTGACAGCAAAATCGACTTGCTTGGCTAACGTAAGTGAAAGAATGTTTAATCGGAAAGAAATTTCTAAATAATACATACTGATACTTTCACTTTTTATCCCCTTTTGTATGTTTTCTATCCTTGAAATTCATCTAACTCGAAAACTCAGTAAGAGAACTATCGACTTATTTGGAGAAGTCATTTGGCAGTAAACTCTAAAAAAGAAAAGAAAGAAAGAAATTCAAATAAATCTCAATGATAAGAAAACATGCGTGATACTAGAAATAGTCTTTTGTAACATGAAGTGTTGGTGGAACTCACATATATATTGAAAGAAAATAGAGAATGTAAGGTTCAAAGGGACACTTGTTGCGGATCCCTATCCATTCCCTTCGTATTACAGTAATCAGATATCAGTAATGAAAGTAGTTTGCCTTCGTTAAATAGAGATCCCTACAGTTAGGTTCGTTTTTTTTCTTCATCATTGCAAACGTATGCGAAATAGGTAATGTTCTTATTATATATCTTAGAACTATGGTAGATTTTTATGAACGATTTTCACGTTATCTATTTTTGCATTACACTAATAAGTCTGAAGTATATATGTGAATTTCACATTTGAGTACTCAAAGGGGACGTGTTGATAAGCTTGTTATAATACTATCTTAAGTTCTGATGTTTAAAAATGTTCACTCACACTCATAAGCTTCGAACCAAGAAAATCTATGCATTATCCGTAATAATTTGTGAATAAACAAACAATTAAATAAATGTACTAGCTCCTGAATTCGATCTAATTGAAGCGAAAATTTTAGTATATGATTTTACTGTTAAATCATGATTGATGGCATATCTTCTTCGTTTATATACTTTACTTTGAAGAGTATTTCATTTCGGTCATCATTCTTAGTTGTAGTACTCGACTTTGTATTAGATCTTTTTGGTTCGACCAAAATCTCATGACCTACTTCTTTTGATTTGTTTTTATATTGAACAATAGTTGGAATAGTTGATGTCTATGGCAAGAATTTACGCAAAAATGAATAAAGTTTGAATCAATACACATACTCGAACGTTGAGTGATCTTGAAATAACATGACGTGATATTTTCTGACTCGTGGAGCATATGATAAAGACCGGCGTGGAATATTAGGTTTTCCTTTAAATACATCAGGCGATGAATAGCTTCGAGCCAAATTTTGTTACGATGGAGATATTCAATGTTTTAGTCATTTTAACGAACTTATAATGAAAAACTTTGCTAGTTGTATGGAAGCGAAATGTACGTTGAAAATGAGTTTTATGCAAAAGTTATTATTATTTTTCAGGCGTAGGGAGAAAAAACTATAGCCAGCAATGTACTGTAATTACAACATCAAAATAGAGATTCATGTGTTTTTGAATTTATTCTTATAGCACAAGAGAAGAACATTTTTTTTGTATCCGAATAATATTAATTTAAATTGAATCATTTAATCAAAAACAAAAAAGCAAATTCAGGGCTTTAGAATTTTCATCGACCTGTTGTACACTGAATTCTATCATAGATAATTATTTATTGCATTTAAGGATCTTATAATGATCATTACTACGAATATGTTGCATGAATTTCATATCATCAATTACTTTTAAAATACACAAGTGAGAGTGATGAAAGATTTTCTTATGGAAAAGAAATATAATTTTGCATTAAATCATTTTTTCATTTGTCAAATAGAAATCAATGTAAAAAATCAAATTATTTATTTAGAAACATAAAATGTATAGTTATTTTCAAGCCTTTTTTCTTGATCAGAACGTACACTAATGTATACTGTTGTTTTCTATCCAATATTTGAACTAGTATAATTTCCAGAACTAGTATAAAAAGTAAGAATCAGATTGGCTTGAATAGAATTTATTTGATCGAAAGAATATTGGATTTTTTGGGTGCTAGAGGAACCTAGAAAAAAACATACCACTTATTAAAATCTGTAAAAATATCATTTCACTTGTACCCTGAACACCGACAGTACAACTTGCACCGGTGTCAAATGCATCATAATAAATAAATTGAACAACGGCAGGTGTAGCTTCAAAAAATTTCACTTGAAAATGATAATACTCACTCGGTGATCCATAGCGACTTGTATAATATTCCAATACTAGGGTACGAGTAGGAGTAGTACCTTGAGATGCATAATATATACCTTGCCAAGTTTTAGAATCAATAAACAGATCATCCCAATATGGTAGAACTGCAGCACCGAAGTAACTACTAGGCAAAGCAGTTTCTAACCAAGCATCCGAACAAGTGCTTAGACAAATAACCTATTTAAAATAAAATGAATCTCATTAATGTCGTACACATTTTTAGTGTTGACAGACAGACGTGATATAGAAGTTTCGATTTAAAGAAGAATCTCAACTCAACTAATTTAAACAAAAATAAATACTTACACCATTAGTCGTTAGTTGAATAAAACTAGATGTCGTAGTGTAAACTTGAATATCGAACGGAAGAGTCATATTAAATGTATCATCATCCGATGGTCCATTGATAGCACCAGTCCAAATTGAAGTATAACTGGTCAGTTGGATAACTGGTACCGTACTGCACAAGCCACCCGAACAGCTTGTATAATTACTCAAACATATATTTCCATCTGCGCCACAGTTGTTAAAATCGATTAATATATTTACACAATTTCCAGTTGATGATGATCGGACATATGGCAAAACACAACTAGCTATAATGTGTTCAAATGAAAAGTTTGTTTTTCACAGCGAATTTTAATTTTAGAATAGAAAATAAAATGAGCGATGCTCTTTTTATTTATCTACTGCATAGTTTCTTCTAGATCTTTTCACGGAGAAGATTTTGACAGTTTATTAACGAAAAAAAAAGATCGTGATTATACATTACCTGTGGTAGTTGTGACAGTTGTCATAATGACTTGTAAATAGAAAAAAAAAACATATACTGCAGTAGATTATTTTTTATTAGAATACTTTTTTATTTACCTGTTGTTAAGCTTTGCTTTTGCAATACAAGAGGAAGAATAATAGCCAAAGCAACCAAAGACATGATTATCAGTGTCAATGAAGCAAGGAATACTGTTAGCAATGTTTTTGTATATCTAATGATTAACAATGAAATGATCTCTTTCTCTCGAGTAGTGATTAATAAATCATACTTTTGTGTTTTAAAAAATCTTCGTAGATTAGCGATAAAATTATTATGTTGTTGCTGTTTCGTTGGTCTTCTACTTGATGATGATGATTGCGATTTATTTGGAACATCATAACGTGTTTCGATTGTTTCATTAGTTTTGTCCATTGTGATTCTGTCTTCCTAGAAATATTTTCATACGACTATTAGCAAAAACAAAAAACTATTGAAACTTGATCCAGCATCATAAACTATTCATCAATAGAAATAAAAATAATTCTTCAGATTATCAACTTCACTGTGAACGAATGAATCGTTAGTTGTCTTCCGTCGTTTTAAATAAAAATAAAATCCGATGGCTACTCACCGATGTTGAGAAAAATAACGATTGAGAATTTAGTCCACGAGACGCTTGGCTACTCGTTGGCATTTTATAATAGTGATTTTTTTATGCAATGACAAGTTATCTTAGCTACTAGAAAATTTTAAATGAATAGTCAAATCTCTCTTTGAAAGAAATTTTGCGAAAATGCTACCGATATTGATGTGACGCGTCTCTTGTTGTTTTTCGATTGGCATACAATATTTAACAATCTGGCTTGAATGATGAAGTGCAGAATGCAACTTTAAATTAAATTTCTTTTTTTTATTAAATTTAAAAAAAAAACACTCTTTTTTTAAACTGATGCAAAATCTACTTGACATATGATGTTGTTCTTTTTTGACGATCATAGAATATTATAACTGCATTTTTTTTACAAAAAAAACAAACATGTAAGTGACCTGCCAATTTCTGTTTACTAACGTATTTGCTTCAAATATTTTCGAGAAAAATCTACTTTGAAGATCTACTGATTTATTAGACAAGATCAACGAAGGAGTGGTGTCAATAAGTGCAACTGATATGTTGTCGAAGTTAATGCGATGTGATGATCTTATGGACGAGATTTCGTCTGATGCTCGTTGAAATGCTCTGTTAGTATAAAATAAAGATTTCTATATGATACAAATTTTATCCGATTTCTCCTATAGAATTTGTTTGGACAAAGGAAAATATGGATCCTATTTTTCAGTTAGCCGATTCCATCTAGTGAGACTTGATGTAGATTTAGTCATAATTAAAACTAATTTAAATCAGTGACTGCCTTCATCCGTTGAGTAAAAATTACATAAAATTACATTTGATTCATCGTAAACAATTTAGACCCGACTGTGATTTACAATATAATTCGCAGCCGACGAAAAAATCATTTGTATTAGTTGATTAAAAGGTTGATGATTAAATTCATACATTCATCAGCCTAAAAATAAATAAATATTTAATATTCAATGACTCAAATAAAAAACCGAATAGTTTACTTATTGATGCTGAATTTTTATGAATGTAAACAATTTACACTTAAAATATAATCGATCTTATTTCATATGATTCTGAATGTATCATTCTCGTAAATTTGAAACGAATTTATGATAGAATCGGTATCCGTTTTTTATAGTACTATGTCATGTAAAACGGTGAAACTGAAAAACGAAAGCCATCGATTTTCGAATTACCTGAATAGAACGAGCACGAGAAAATAAGTCAGTTTTCGGTTGTCTAGATTTCATGGAAATGGATAATACAATCAGATAAAAATGTTCGTTTTGCTGACTGTTTAAGAAACGATCAACATTTTTATTTTCAAATTAGTATACTTAATATTCTTTTTTCTATCACGAAAATTTGAATAAAAAGAAGCAAGATATTGATTCAGCAGAATATTATTCGAACGCAGCTTACATTGTTCAGATCATATAAATGCAAAACTTCATGAACCTAAACAACATGAAATACTTCGATTAAGACCATTATGGCTACACGAAGTTTCTGGTGATTTAAATAATTGTATATTTTAGAAAAAAAAACAAAGAAACGAAACTTCCTTGAAGTGATCTAAATTGAAAAGTAAAATATATCTCTGCTCATAGTTTGAAATCAATGGAGTTGAAATACAATCATGAAAACGATGTATCTAGTTTTTAAAAATATGAAATACTTTCAGACTTGTTCATTGATAGCATAGGACTTTCACGAAAAGGCAAAGCAAAATGTATGTACAGCTGTTTCCAAAAAAACTTGCTTAAATTTTTCTGCAGATATCATCTGCTATAAAAGTGTTCTTCGAATTATTTTATACTGTGGTGGATAGCCCTAATCGAGTGCTAGACGACACCATAATTCGATATGCCAACTGTTCACTCATAGAAGAAAAATGAGACTAACATCACTTTTTCTTGGGTACAACAAAAATGTTGATAATCGAAATTCAACATTTTTGACTTTTTCACCTGAAAAATATTGATTAAACAGAAGCCGTGTTTAAACGTTTCGTATAGAAGTTGATAGCCTATAATATGCTACATTGAATATCATCATAGTTCAATATTTTATTCATTCACCTTTACAATCAATAAGAGATAAACATCGTTTTCTCATACCCAGGTTCATCATTGAGGCCGTCTGAAAGATGGCATTAAACTCCCTGAAATGGTCAAGAAACGGCGTTATTAATGCCCTAAACAATAAAAAACGACCGCCGTTTTTCACCCGTTTTCCTTCATCTCGTTTTCCGGACCTTTTTTCTCGGAACATTAACGACGTCATTTAAGGTCGTTCCCGATAAAAAAAAACATTGAGAGATAAAAGGACTTTACCGAGGACAATCATTCCGACCTACTGAACGAGCATCTTAACAGGTCTGAAACGACTATAAAACAGTGTAATAAGGCATTAATTTTCACCTTATTTCGCCGTAATCCGTCAGCTCGTTTTACGAGCCGTTTTTCTTTGGGAGAAAGCGGCTACCGCTTTTAACACTTTATTCTTCGTTTTCCGAGTTGACGAAAAACGGTGCCGTTTTAACGTCGTTTACGGCATTTTACGAACGGTTTTCTTGGACATGGGTAATTTCGCCCTTTATCGTCCCAATCTCGTCGTTTTTGACCAGTTTACAATGAGCGTTACGTTGGTCATTTATATTTTATTCCTCAAAATAAAATACAATAACCTAAAAACTAAAACTAAATAAATAAAATGAAATAAAATACTTTGACAACAGTATCTAAGTATCTATTTTATACCCATATTTATGTCTCAGAATAAAAGGGATGTAAAACAGTAAAAAGCGTTCGCCTTATAAGGTAGTCGTTTCCGACAACACGAAAACTGCCGCCTAAAAGGTCACTGGTTTTCGCTTTATCACATCGTTTTCCGGTGCTTCGTTGCTGGTCACCGTAACGGCTGCCGGCTTCACTCGTATAGGGCCTTTTACGGGCCGTTCTATACGACATGGGTAGAAATCACACAAATTTTCACAACATTATTATCAATATTTCTGAATTCTTGAGCTCGAAAGAGTTCTAATTACCTCATCAGTATTTAGAGGTTTTCTTTTTTCCACGTTGCGTTTCACTATCGACTATATATTTTCTATCGGATTTGCATCCGGGCTATTAGATGGCCAGTCTAATAACCAAGGGGGAAAAAGCGGCTCCTGGTGGCTCCTGATGGATTCTAGAATCCACCAGGAGCCGTAGATTCCACCAGGATCCATAGAATCCACCAGGATCCA